ATCCACCCGTGTTTAATGCAATCTTTGTTGAACACGAAAAGGCTGGCTTTCTAGCCAGTAAATTCCAACACTTGAAAAGTATTTATTTTACAATAATTGTATCCAGTGATGTGCATTGATATCCATTGATACCTTAAAAACTACGTTATAGGAGATTTTAAATTTAAGTTTTTTTGCTTTTAATTGAGGATATTAATCTTATAATATAATTTAAGTGGTATTTTTGTTTAAAAAAAACTATAAGTTTTTATCTATCTATCTTATCTATTTATCTAATTTTTATACCATGTACCCCAAATCGTAAAAGGGTATACTGCTTAGTTTGGTCCAAGCGTACATGTAACACACAGAAAGAGATATACTTGTAGTCTTGATCAGCATTACAATAGGAGCCGATTTAGAAATGTCCGTCTGCACATGCGCTTCCCGAAGCTTTTGTTGGTGCTGCGTTGGCTACTGCACTCATCGACAAAATATTTTGTAAGTGTATTTTATTGAAACTGTACCGGTTTTTTTACGTGTTATATATTTTGTATTTTATTTAATTAATTTCATCTTTAAAATAATTAACTAATTTTCAAAATATGAAAAAAAAATTATTTTATTATAGGAGTATGATTTTTAAAACAAATTTCTCTAAGTGTACTCTTTGCTCTCATACGACACTTTAACCACATGTGTGTGAATATGTATGTGTGTTCATATAAAACAGAAACGAAACAGAAAATAAAGATCGCAGGTGAAGGGCGACGGTCGCCCTTCGCTTTCAGTTGGTGCCACGGCTTGTCTGGCGAAAGTTCCGGTGGTTTACTAGAAAGTGATTCGACGATTTCGCGCTTAATGCGTACGCAAGCACCGATGGGTTAACTCCATTCAGCTTAAGTTCCTACATTTTTGATAACCCAAACTCACAGTTACAGGCCAGCTAATAAGCAAAAGGTAAACAACAAGAAACACACATCGTAATGACCAATTCCACAGCTGATATTGGAGAGGACTTCCTTTTGGACTTTGTGCAGTGCACTCTGGAGCCTCCAGACAGGTAATCAAATCTCCAGCAGGCAGGACGGACAGTTCTTCAATTTCGACCATTAATGAACGAGGCATAACATACGTGATAGTACACTCATCAAATGACAGAGAGGCATAAAAGTCAAATGCTGGTGCTTGACAATTTATGCACGTCTCAATTATTAATTAGCAGCACTGCATATTTGCAAGCGTAAGGACGTGAATACGACACCAGGGCCAAAGAGTTTTATGAGCGTCGTAGTGCGCTTTCAATTAGCTCCGTCCTTACGCATTCTAGACAGGCTCCTATTACTGTAAACTAATAAACTTTATCAGTTCGCTGCTATTGCCATAGAATGCTAATTAAGTCATACTCGTAATTAAAAGCAATGTGCTGAGAACGTTGATGATAGGATGACTAAGTGCCGCCGCATATGCTAAAACCTTACAGTTTTTGGTAACTTTTTTCTGATATGTGCTAGTTTGTTTTCCAATAATTTTTTTGTTGGCCTTGATCAATATTTCCTGTCTCTACGAATATCCCCTTAACAACAAAGTTGTTTTTGATGTAACTACCAACCTACTTACTTACTTGGAGGCACATGAGTCCCCAACAATGCCATTCAAATACATAGTTCAAAGTCGTCAAAGTTCAATTCAATCAATTTCCAATATGTGCCAGGTATCCTTAAATGTATATGCGCGTGTTATATGTGTGCATACATTTGAGTGTGTGCGTGTGCTGTCTTGTGTGTACTTCGACACTGGCATTGATAATGAAATTCTGGCTGTCTTTTATCAACCATTCAGAAGACGAAATGCGGCTCCACAAGAGCATATAGCATGTATGTATTTAGGAAGTCGTGTTTGTTTTTCTTTCTTTTCTCTGCGATGTTAGTGGAATCAATAACTCAATTTTTATGCTGCTGTCCCACATTTGACATATGAGCAGAAACATAAATTACTCCGCACAATACATCCCATAGAGGTCACAGTGATTCTAATGCTTGCAGCATTCCATTTGGACTGTATTCGCTCTGATAAAAAGTTTTAAAATCGCCCTTGTCTTAAAGCAAAAGAGCATGCTACGATCGAGCAAGCCCGACACTGAAAAACCCAAAGAATATGTATGTAATTTCCAAATGTGAACAGTATTGACGAAATTCTGTAGCTGGGAAGGGGGTCCATAACATAAAATAAACTTGTATTGTCTGGATAACCGCTCGGCTTAACCGTCTGCGAAATCCAGGGGTTCACCCATACAGACGGACTATATCGATTCGTCTCGTCATGCTGATTAAGAATATATAGTTTACTGTGCCCGATATGCCTCCTTCTACCTGTTACATACTTTGCACCAACCTAATATAACATTTTTTGCCCCTATTTCCGGTGTATAAAAATTAACCATTAAAAATTATTAAAAGGTTCCCCTTTTACGAATTTTTTATTTCTTTTGCAACTAAACCTTAAAGAAACAGCGTTCATTACACTTAGAATTTTTCCTAAAACTAATCAATTCATTAACTAACTTTTTCAGCTCTTCACAATTTATAACATTTTATCTTTTCCCTAGTTCAGTATTGCAAATGTGTTCATTTTAGCTTTATACTTTAAATATAACGAGCAATACAAAGTTGGAATTATATCACAAAGCACCAGTTTTGTTGTGCATTAGGGGATTAATATCAAAAAGCCAGTGTATAAAACTCCAGGTACTATTGCTTCTCAATCCTTTATAAAGAGAAAGGAATAAAAAACAAAATGTAATTGCAGGATGTTTGGGATGGGCTTTGATTGATACAAATATTTGTTATTGCAGCCGCCAACAGGTCGGGGGTTGTTGCATCTTTGTCCATGCCATATCGAGCATGCAAGGACGTTTCCGTTACTTTGCGGCAATCGCAGTCGTCTTCGTTCCTGTCACTGCCACGAACTAACATGTAGGCTGTGATTTATGTGCATTAATAAATCCACCTTATTACTGTGTCTTCAACCATATACACTTATAAAACCATGTGCATGTGAGGGCTTTGCGTGGGAGGTAGACACGGGGGCCCTTGCATGGGAATTACCGCTGTGTGAATCAGTTAAAGAAAACAACTGCCTGTTGTTGTCAAATTGTCAATGTCAAATTTTCATGTCGGAGTAAAATTGCACGCATGTCAACCATTTCGTTTTATGCTTAAAAGTAATGGCACTGCTGCCACTCATAAAAAACGAACCCTAGCCTGAAAAGTGAAGATAGAAAATACATATTACTCTAGTTTTGCATTTCTTTTTAGTACGAGTGCCATCCCCTAAAGATAAAAGTCTGAATGAATGGGTTCGTCGAGAGTTTTGTGAAGCAATATTAGACCGGAACACGAATGAGTGGCAGTCATCGAACATAGACACTACAAGTTCAAGTGTTTGAAGATTGGGGCCTTTAAAGGCATATATACTTATGAACGAAATAAAATTTAGATTACTTTAATTTATTTTTTCCTAAGGTAACATAATCCCAATTATATTTAAAGCCATATGTCACTTGAGACCTAATTGTTAGTCACCAATAAGAGTGATATAAGATATATAAAATATGATGTATTCTGCCATTTAATTTGCTCTAGATTTTATATCATATAATTGAGCGCCAAACCCCCAGATGTTCTGCTTTCAAATAGAAGCAGTTATTCCGTAGTGTTGTTTTAAGCAGCCGTACACTTAGATAGTCTTTAAATAAATTTAAATCGTAGATCTGCCTATTTTCAATCTTGTTGCTTTTTTTTCATACCTCTCTGACTTAAATGCAAATACAAATTCTCATGGCTGCTTACTTTCTAATGTTTTATCGTATGCAAGAATAAAATATCTTTTACAATATTGAAAATAATGGCGACAATAACAACAACAACAGCGCAGCTACCATTTGACTAACGAAGGCATAACATATGAATCCCTTAGCTGTTTACCGTTGCTAAAAGGCCTAGCCCAAGTGGGCCGAAACCGTTGCAATAGAAACAAAAATAGTTTAACAGAACTGTTATTGCTAATTTAATACTCTTCTCTCCTTTGTGTCAATTATTTACAAAACTGAAATAGCTGGTGAACCGATTGAGATAATATGTGGGATCTATTAATCTATCTATTTTAGCTTTTTAAGATGTTATTAACGAACCATTTTCAAGTAAAAGTAAGTAGTAAGCAGTCCATTAATTGTTAAAGGTTCAAAATTTTGTTTATTGAGATAAAGCAGGAGAGAAAAGACTTCGGTTGCAGGAATGTAAAGAAGGTCGTAATACACTTAAAGAATCTATTTTAAAATCGTGCATTATTATCGATACTTACGCATAGAAATTAAAACATTCAGAAACGTATTTTTCAATTGACTTGGACATTTTTTGATTAGATATTATTATTATCTTTTCACCTTTTCGTACTTTTTAGTTTTAAAATAGGTAAATAAATAAATAGGTAAAAAAAAACAACAAAATTAAAAATTTTTTGTAAAGAAACAGACTTCATAAGTCTTGTACTCTAAATAGAGTATTTGGTTGTTGCTTTTCAGAGCAACACTGGTGTTGATTTGTTCAATCTTCATACCTTTCTTGTATACATATGTATTTCTGGGGGTAAGGTTGCCGAAATGGGGAAATGGGTTCTTGTCCTTGCGTTGTCAGCTATCGTTTGACTGTCTTGAATGACTGACTGGCAAGGCAAAGAAAGAAACAAAGCAAAATAATCCGAATGCAAAGGCAAAAACATGGCAAATGCCAAATACTGCATACAAAATAAGGGCAAACTCAAGTATTAGTTACCATTTTAGGCGCTATAGTAACAAAACATGTGCAATCGAACTCATTCGTTACCAACGGTTACAAACGCGAAAACTGGCAGGGAAAAGCCAAAAGTGTCTCTTTAGTGGACGTTTTCTAAATAAGAAATAAATTAATTCTTAATTGCATGTAAAACCCTCGCTGTGGCTGACTAATTGTGGCCATCAATAGCTTTAATTTGCCGCGCATTAGCGCTCGGTTGGAGCGCCTCATGGGAACGAATGTGGTGAAACTGACGGACCGCTCCTACATGAAGGAGCTGCGCGAACGCATCGATGAGGATTACCGCAAACAACTGCTGGCTAGGATCAAGGCGCGTGAGGTAAGTACCCTAATCTCAATGGCCGAATTGCCCACCAATTAGTCCCGACACAAATGATGCCAATTTGCATACCGGCTGAGACTAAGCAGCATCTGCCAGATACCAATTGGGGACCCACGACACGTAATTCAATTTTTATAAACTTCAAGTCCGTCCCTTTTTGATACTGTTGTTGTTGTGGTTGTTGGGAAAATCCCAGGCAGGCGACGCCTAACTAAGTTGTCAGTTAAAGTCACGTACAAAAATTTATTGCCTATCGCGCTCTTACTTTCAAAAAAATTTCTTACCCTTTTCATATCCTAGTATCTGCGTTCTAAACGGCTGACATCGCCTACAATTTCGAAGAGCTTGGGGGCGCAGAAAGAACACGGTCGAATAGTGAAAGTGTGCCAAAAAGGCTGCCAACAAAACAGCAACAATATCACTGGCAAAACTTTTCAATGACGAAAGTCGCGCCTACTACTAGCGAGAAAACAATTGAATTGAATGAGCTCTCAACATGAAAATGTCAAAAAAAAAAAAAAGACCAAGCCAAGTCGCTAAAGTAATGAAAAACAACACCAAAGAGATGCGGGAAAAAATGTGGCTTTATTTATGCACGACATGCAAACCAAACATATATAGAGGTTGGCCAATTTTAGGGACTACAGACCTTCGCATACCCCACAAAATATTGGGGTTTAGGAACTTCAGTGATACCTTTGAGGTTTACCAAAAATCCACCGAAAATATCGAAATCTAATGGAATTGGTTTTGGTTTTAGTTTATAAACAACTTATTTTCATTAATTGTAAATTTCTACCGAATTTTTTTGTAAATTATTTATATACTAGCGTTTTTGACTTGCATTGCTGTGCCACTGAATTGTAATGATTTTTAATCTTTCCGACGTCATATCTTTCCCAATAAGTCTTTCGCCCTTTGTGGCTTCGATTACATCCTTGATTGAGTACCCACTGTCTTCCACCTTTCATCGTATGTACAAAGGATGTCCATCGCCGCCTGTTGGTGTTTCTTGGATCAGAGTTGATGCCCTTTCGTGCATTTGCCGAAGCTTCGACTTCCGTTCTTGTTTCGTTTTGACGGCTCTAGATTGCAAAGATCTTGCAAACGTTATTCGCGTTCACCGGCATTTTCAGCTGCATTTTTTTGAATTCGATTTTACAATTTTATTCATTTACGAATGAAACACTGACAAGCAGAGTAAAAAGTGACTATATGACATATTAAAATAAGCAGAAAGAAGCCAGAAAACGGTGGTTGATTGCGTTGACGAATCGAATGAAACACTGACAAGCAAAGTAAAACGTGACTATATGACATATTAAAATGAGCAGAAATAAGATTGCATTGACGAATCGCCACGGAACTTCACAGGATTATCCATTGGACTATTTAAAATATGCCACAAAATTTAATCAACATAGGTTGAGCAGTTTCGGACATATATATATATATATACATATATATATACATACATATATACATACATTTATAACATATATTTAGATATATAGATATATTTTATTTTCTTCTTATTTGTATTTTCAAATTTTAGATGAAAGAAGTGGAACGGGAACGCATGCTGATTATTGAGGGTAAATCAGATGTGATTCCGGATGAGCTTGCTGATGATCCTATATTTATGGTCAATAAAGATGCCAATATAGAGATAATGAAAGAACGCTCAAAGGTAATTTTCGAGTCATTAAAAAAAAGCCCATATCATTGCCATTTCTTAATTGATAAAATTGTGTTCTACAGTTAAAGACAAGTCGTGAGAAGAACGCTGAGCGTCTTAAACAACAGGGCGTTAAGTGGGAGCGCGAGCGGCTCCAGCACGCAGCAAAAGAGGCCGAACAGTTAGCCAAGAAACGTGAGCGGCAGCGCCAACAGAAACTGCTGGTAGAACAGTACAAGGCCGAAGATGCTGAACGGGGCATGGACCTCTTGCGGTAAGTAAAACTTTAAGGCATAACTGCTTGGCACTACTTATTTATACCTATACCGCCTATACAGCATCGACAACGAAGACTGGCGAGAATGCGAGCAAAACCTTAAAGAATTTCTTGAACTTGAACGTGCTAAAATGAAGGAACGTTCAATGCGTGTGCCTACGGCATATTCTTCCGACCCCCTTGATATACAGAATATTGTACGCGCTCGGTAAGAAGTTAACACTCCAATTTTGAATAACCCCTTTCTAATAATCCAAACGCATGGTCTTTTAGCCAAAAATTCCGCGAGACTGAGCTGCGAATTCGACAACAGCTGGACGATAAGACAAAGGATGGGAAGTCTCCGCTGACGCCGAAGCAAATGACTGCTCTGACCACGGATGTGCGTGGAAGCACTGAGTTGCAGCCTATGCGTGAATTCTCTCGAGATTTTGACTCCGAAAGCTTTCACGAACTGATGCGACGCAGACTAATGGACGATGCCACCGATGTCTCTGAGGATAGTGTTATAAGTGAAGGAGCTATCAGCATTAGCGTGGCAAAACAACAGTATGCCGAGGAGCTCGAGGAGGAGATGGAGGACGAGTTTAATCGTGGTTTGCTCATCTCAAAGCAGCAGTATGATCAGCTGCGCTTCGAAGATGAGAAGATCGTGGCGCTACGCAACGCCAAGGTAAATTATGCACATACGAGGGGATGGCTGATTAGTATAAACGCAACTTTTTCGAGTGGAAATAAATTGTTATACCCTGTACCCGTAGGGAAAAAGGTTATATGTATTAGGTTTGTGCAAAGTATGTAACAGGCAGAAGGAGGCTTCTCCGACCACATAAATTATATATATACTCTTAATCAGCGTGACGAGACAAATCGATCTAGACATGTCCGTCCGTCTGTCCGCCTGGATTTCATAAACGGTTGAGCGCACATTAGCCAAACTTGGTATATAGGTCCTAATCCCTAAGCTATAGGAGTTTATTTTATTTTTTGGATTATCCCTCCCCTCTCCCCGCCACAGAATTTGGTTAATACTGTCCACAAAGGTATATAAACCAAACTTCATACACGTAATCTATTTATAAATATCAACTTTTGTTTTTCATTTCATCCAAATCGATTAATTATAATGGAAGTTATTAGCGAAACAATTTCATTTCAGTACTATGCCCACAAACTGCATCATCAAGGTCGTTCTTCTTCTTTTTGCTTCTGCTAGGGGCGCTTATAACTTAGTACCGAAAGTTTATCTGGGTACATGGTATTTCACTGCCGGACTTGCGCGACTGTAGCGTTCTTCCTTGTTTTAAACGTAATTGTCTTCAGGAGACACACACTTGTTTCAAGTTCCTAAAATGCTTCAGAACTGGTTTAGCGAGTAATTTAAAATAGGTATTCTTTTCAGTGTTTAATTTGATAACATTCCCATTTATACCCCCCATTCCCCACCAAAATTGAATATAGGAGTACTGGTGCATGACATTTTGGCAGAAATCAGCAGATAGAAAATTATTAAGAACGAAAAATCGTATTGGGTTTACTTAACAGCCATTCCTTATCCGTATATACTTTGACATATTCTAAAATTGTGTATTGTTGTCCAACTCTTAGGATATTCGCGAACTCTATCAATTGGCCGAGGAAATTATCATGGGCGATGTGATTGAGGAGGAGCCGGTCGACGATGTAGAAGAAGAAGCCGGCGCTGAGGAAGCAGAGCCCGAGCCGAGCTCTGAACAAGACTCTCATACGCAATCTCACAAAGGCTAAGAAGGTGGGGTCTTGAAAGTCGAGCATTCTGTGGCAGACTGTTGGCCACTTTTTAAGCTATTTTACAAAGTTTGGCGAAATATTTCATTTCCTATCCCCCAGCCTAAAAAAATGGGAAACGAAAAATTTAATCAAATTATGCAAAATTCTCAAGTGTTCTATCGTAAACAAAAACTTCTGCCGTTAATACGCAAGTGAGGGGAGGGTAGGTGGGGCTTGCAATCGAAGTTGCAATTAATAATTAAAACAGAAACAGTGAAGCACCTGTCAGCGCGTCAGATTTGCCCACCGTCCTTGGCTGCTCAAATGAAAATCAAATAAAATTATTTGATTTAGTCGATAAGCGAAGTTTAATTAGTAGTCGGTAAGTGGTGATAACAAATTAACTATCCGTGGGTGCATGACGAGTTAATATTTGATGCCACAAATATTTGCACGCCTATTTGTCGTGATAAATTGTGGAGATGACGCAACAAATCACAGTAAAATTCGTCCGTCGGCATTTCTTTAATAATTACATTTAACGGACAATGTGCGGCAGGTCAAAGTATTTGTTTATTTTAATATCTAATGAGCTTAGCCCGCCAGTCGATTCATCCACAGTTTATGAAAGCTAGATTCGAGTGGGCTCAACTTTTAAATACCCTGTACTCATTCCCACAAAAACAAAAAATAATTTATTAATATTTTTAAAATAAATTGTATTTTTATAAAATTAATAATACATCAACAATACCAATTCAGTGAAACTGCAGCCCATTCGGATTCAGTGAATTCCCTTCGCTAATAATATGGAACGCCAACGTCACCACATGTTGTGTTGTCAACAAAATTCATAAAACATTCCGCTTGGTCTTTACCACACCCCTCCCTTCCCGGTATTTCAACCGCCCACCCATCGAAATACACTCACACATTTAAAAAAATAGTGACGCCAATCCCCACAGCTGAAGCTTTCCTGCCCGCTCGGGGCACGGTGGGTCCAAGTACGAGAATTACAGCCCGACATGTTGGCTTTTTGTTTACATTGTGACGCAGAATGCCCTCGCTGGTATCTTTCACGGTGGTAAATGAAAACACTTTTTCATATCTTTTTATTTAAATAGGTCTGGTCGGGCCTTCGTGGATTTGCATTAAATTTGTCATCAAAAATCTTGCGTATACTACTACGAAGGCATTCTTTAGCATCCCTCTTCCTAATCCCATACAATTTTTCATTGATAAACAGTCCTAGAAGTGAGGAACGCATCTTTATCAGAGCTTTGTAGGGAAAGCTTCACGCAATTTTGGCGCGTTGCCTTCGTGCCGTGGTCGGCAATCCCGATGCCCTCTCGGCTAGTGGGTGCTCTTTATAAAAGGAGTCGAGTCCGTCAACCACCAGGTAGTGTTCAACAAGTGGAGCAACAGTTGCAAACGCATACGACCAATACGGGTTAGTTCTCTGCATCCTGAAAAGTAACGACAATTTTTTAAATTACACACATTTTACAAAACAACAGTAAACAATAGAAAAACGTGAGTTTAGTTTCCCTGCAAAATTAGAAAACGCATATGATGTAAAACGCATCGCTCACAAAAATTATATACGCAAAGAAACAGTTTTCACTCAAAACATAGTTTTTATGGTGTGTTCAAACAAACGACGTATTTTCAACTGTGCCCAAATCGAAAATTTCGCGCCGCGAAATCATAGAAATGCCGTCGCCTTTTCTGATGAAAAAATTGCGTATACGCACTGCTTGTTCTTGATGTTTGAATCCAACCAGCATTTGATTGAAAAGCAACCTTTGCAAAATCAATTATTTGAAATTAAATTATAAATATGTACATACATATTTAATTGTAACAACTGATTTAAGTATTGATTTGATTTCAAAGACTAAAAACTGTGGTTATTAATTATACGTTTCATTTATTTATATTAGATATTCTGTTGTGGATATTTCCAAATCGATTATTTTAATATGTCGCAATACCGACATTTTTTAAACTTTACACTTTGTAAATTAAAACTATTAGTTTTCAAAATCAGTGTAACTATCACGCTCATTTTGAAAGTAAGAAATAAAACAAACAATTTTCCGGTCGTATAATCACCTATATCTCGGAGGCTATAAGTCCTAAGGACACCAAATTCTAGTCCCAGATGCCTATGAGAATACACAGAAAATTGTATTTTGGAATATTCCTCCCATAACTCCGGTAATTATTGGAATTTCAAACTCATTTGGCAAATGCCTCCAGTTAGTGATAATAAATCCGTATACCAAGTTTCATTATGAGATAGGCCGAAGGAAGTTATAGCCATATATGTATATATGACCAAGCAGTGCCCGTAGATGTTGTTGTTGTTACTGCTTTGCACAGACACACGAGAATTGCACGCATAATTATTCCACACATATGTACAGAGTATTTCAAATTTAAGACACCCGAACTTTAGCTTCTCTACTTGTTCAAAGTACAATTTTGTAAAATTCTGTCGCATAACTTAATTGATGCAATTTTAAAACTTAAGGTGGCTGTCTAAATGTTCGAAGTTTTTAGTTCAAAGAAACTAAAATTCAGCAAAATTCCATTAAATGTGTCTTATACAAATATTTAATTAATATAAATATTAAGTTATGTTAATTAATTTTTAAACGGTAGCTTTTTCGTATTTAGTTTCCATTTCACATGAAGTTATTGTTGGTATACTCATACACAATTTAAAGTGCTAAATGAATTTTTGTACAAGCCACAGTATTTGTGAAATTCAATATATATTCCAGTACACATATATGAATGGTTGCCGGTCTGCAGGCAAAACACATACTATGTATATAAGTCAGTTCAGTTACTTTTCGTTGAAATCGAGGCTGGTTGTGAACTTCCCTTGCCAACAAATGTGTGTATGTCAATGTGTATATGTTATGATATCCATTTATTGCCCACAAGAAGACGTTTCTAAGTATCAATACACTGAAAAAAAAAAGAATTGTGGTCCACAAGAAGACGTTTCTAATTATCAATACCCTGATAAAAAAAAAGAATTGTGTTCCGAAAATACATTGTACTTCAAAGTTATGAAATTGAGGATTTGTAAGTATAGAAAACAATTTTAAATGAAAAGGCTTAACTAACCTAATTTTCACTATAACAATCATATAAAAGATATAAGATAAAATCATAAAAGATATAATAAATGACAATATTGCAACAACAATTGATTGGCCCATTAATTTCTGAGCATCTTGGTAATTGGCCGAGTTTTGGCCACGAATAGATGACCATAAGTCAAAACTTTGTCAACCATCGTCACCTCATGTGGCTTTGCCTGTCCGTTTAGCCTAATTAAACAACTTTTTACACTACAGTCGTTGCAACCACATATCAAGTTTTTACGCAGAAAAAACAAACTTAAATTATACGCAGAACTCGGCCTACAAGTCACAGGCCGTACCCATTAGCCATAGTTTTTATTTTTTTGCTCAATTTTGTCATTTCTCCAATTAACATGCTTTTATTGCGAAACAAACTGTGCAGGACAGAGGCAATTTTACCACCCCCCATCCCCATTCCAGTGCCCACCACCTCAGGTGAAAGTACGTCGTAAACTGCTTAGGGTCGAGCCGCGCATACTCGTATGAGGGCATCACTGTCCACCCGCAAGTGCTCTTGAATTTTGTTCCGGTTCAGCTAAATTAATTTTATTTTACCCGAAGGACCACATCGACTTTTGGCCACCAAGCCCAAAATAACCGACCATGTGCGATGGGCGATATCCGACCGCCTCCAACAATGTGTCAACAACTTAATTAAAACAGTTTGATAACGATTCCTGTTTGCTGTGTGCACAAAGGCGTTATTTGTGCTTATTTTTCGTGACAATTTCAATTCCAAAGGTACCTACATACTCGGGCTTTCTGAAAGGTTAATTCTGTCCTTAAAAATTGAAAATATACGGTCTGTATATTCGCTGGAGTAATACATACATACACCGCAAATACATATTTGCAAATTGTTGGAAAATCTTTTAGAAAAAAGTGGAAAAGCTAAAGTCAGGAGCTCCGACTTTGAAATACTTAGCACCTATATAAATTTTAAAAATTTCACATAATTGAAATTGAAGAATGGAATGCAAGAGTCGAGTAGGCTCAACTCTTAAATACCCTGTTAAAATTTCCACAAAAACAAAAAGTATTTTTTAGTTCATTTTTTATAGTCTGTACTCAAAGGGTAATAGGGTATACAAGTTTGTGCGAATATATGCAACACACAATAATTTACACGGACGCCTGTGTAAATTATATTTACTTAATAATACACAGAACATGCCATACGATACCAAAACAATTGTTTAATGTACTGCCTATTCTGTCCATCAATTTGTGACGCATTATGATGCAAATCTGTGATTATTAACAAGTCAATTTCAGTCAAGCGGAATTCACAATTCTCATTTGTAAAACCAAAATTTGCAATTTAAAATTCATTTATTTGTGGATAAATGTATGGGTAACATTCGTTGCCTTAATTTGAAAACAATTTAGGCATTCGTGTGAGCGCAACTGCCGATTTAAGCCGATTGAGGGTAAATATATCGAGGCGTAAATACATTTAGGCCAACAATTTGGTGGAAAGGAGACCTGTCCTGCTTATTTATTTTGCATGACTTGAACTTGGGAATTTCTTTTATCTTTAGAAACACGTATTGCGGCTTAACTGCGTAAATATATTTTTGAAACAAAATACACATGGATATTTATTTAATTATTTTTAATTCCAAAGAAATTAGTTACACATTTGGGAAGCATATCCTCATAGTGCTTCTTGAGCATTGTGGTTTTCTTGATTTGAGTTAAGTTTACGCAAACGCAAGCTCAAGCAGTTATAAACGATTGACCGATTTCAAAACTTCAGAAAAAAAAAGTAGTTGGCATATATTTGTATACCTACATGAAAGCTACAAGGCATTAGGTTTGTACAAAGTAAAAATGTATCAGGCGTGGCAGACCCCACAAAGTATATACATGTATTATTATCAACAGATAGAGGCATATCAAGATTGTGTCTATGCGTGTCTAGGCTTGTATAGTATTAACAATTGGCATACATTACTTTATGAATCTGAACATGAGGGCAGATAAGCACAGAGGTACGGAAATTATGAAAAATCACTTCCATTCATCCAGAAGGTCATGCCTATATCCACGCGTCCTGTCTTACTTATCAAAAATATATACACTTTGGGGGGTCTGCTACGCTTCATTCTGTGTGTTACATATATTCGCACTAAATTAGTATATCCTTTTTCCCCTTGGGTACAAGGTATAAAAATGTAAGCATTGCATTTTCTGAGCATTTCTCGTCACGTAATAAATGTTAAAACAAATTTTTTGCAGCACATATCCAATAACAATGCCATTTTCACTGATTCTGATGCGGAATTTGAATTGATGCATAACACTTGATTGTAACGTTTCTTACGTTAAAGGGGGTAAACTTTGTAAGCCTAAGATTGTGTGTACATTGTTGGATATATGTACTTGCGGCAAGCCACGCTCCCACGGGAAAACAATAAAAACGACCGCGAACGCCAAAAGTTCCTCACAGTTCATTTATATTTTCTCTACAAAAGTTAATAAAGAAGCGAGTCATGGCTAATGGACGCAAAAAAGAAGAGGAGAAGATGAGGAGCAGCATGCAAATCCGTTGCTAAATATCTGAGCCGACCTTGCGCTTCCCTTACACATTTCCATGCATTCTTAATTAAATAAGATGAAGCAGCCTTAAAATAAAAACAAGCCGTGCCAAGTAAAATAACATTGTCTACATTGGATACGCCGCCTGTAGTATATTCTTTGGCGGATGTTTGTGTTAACCTTCATTGCCATGCATGTATGTATGTACTCTTACGTCTATGTACGTGCGTGTGCATATTTCTATGTACATAGGTGTGCAAGTGTGCGTGTACATATTGTTTGTTTCAACACAATGAGCTTGATAAAAAGGAAGGGGCTGCATAAGCTGTAGTGATGGTAATTACTAGAGCTTTGTTTTTATACCCTGTACCCAAAGGGTTTAGTGCGAATGTATGTCACACAGAGAAGGTATATACATACATATATTAGTATTCGGTATAACAAGACGAGTCGATATAGCTATGGCTATATTATTACACTACCAAGAAAAAAACCGTTAAAATCAAATAGCCTGAGTGTCAAAAGTGAAGACACCTACATTCTAAACGAAACATAACTAAATACATGTATCTTTACCACATAGTTAAATAAAGTACATATGTATCTATATATTCTATCAACACTTACAGAGAAGACACCTAACAAAAGGACAATAGGATATCGTCCTAGAAGCAGCCTAGACCTCTTTATCCGTATACTCTGCAAACGGAAATTGAATATAAATCGCAATGAAGCCTGAAATGTTAACGCTCTGCATTGTGGCAACTATCTTGAGCAGTACACGTCCCATTTTTGGATTTTTGACTTCCCAGACGGCCGCCGCATTTAATGGCGTTGGAGTTGCGCCTCGACAACAGCAACGCTCCTCCCTACAAGGTCCTGTTTATGCAGATGTCGAAGGTGGTGGGGTTGCCATTCAGCCGCGGCACTCGCTGTCTGATTCTCGAGAACACGCTGTTTACGATCCCGGGGATGGTGAGTCACGGCTTAAGTTACAAAGCCTTTCGCTGTTATCAAGAGATTACGGGAATGGTTGTCATTTCAAGCCATGATATTTAAGAGACCTTTGTTTCACATCGTGGTATGCACTGATGAGATAGAACAAAAAAAGTGTCAGCTAAGAAATGAGTTCATCATTACAGTATGTAGAAAGCAATTTGCGACGGCTAAAAAGTTTTTCATTATGTACTATTGAAGATTCTAGTTCTAGTTCTATTCAAAACAAGCCTGTATTTATTTCACAATGCTTCAGATATCTAAAACGCATGAAAATGACTCTTTTGAATAAATACATACCCGTAAATCAATTCCACAAGAGCAAATAAACTAAAAGGCAATTTACACAACTCTTGAAACCGGCATATCTTGCTTTTAACTATTGTATATAGACTATAATTTGTGTCACATTTCGTCTTTTTTTAAACGTGTAAACACTAAAAATTTCACAATGGACAATTTGAGCACTTCTAGTCAGTGCACAATTTAACAATTTGCGTTGACCAGCTTAGCAAAGCTCTTTATATATGATTTTTAACGCCCTTGAAAACATTTGTAGTTTTTGTTCTGTATATAAGACCTCCGATTATACCTTCCGCTTCGCTGATTCGTCAAAATCTGTGCGCACTACGCCTACACAGCACGTCCACATTCAGATTCAGATTCGTATTCCTTTTAGTAAATTGATTTGAGTTCATTTAAAATTAATGTTACGTTAAAGTTTCCAGCCGACTTGCTCTGAATTACACTTTTGAAGATTTTCATTAATTGTGCCCTAAACGTCCTCGCATAAATATGCAAAAATATCGTACATATGTATGTACTTATGTAACCTGTGTCTGTTTGCTGGCTATTGATGCTATTACCTCCGCACAGCCACATATTTCATATTGACGCGTTGTTAGTTTAACAACTTTATGGCCCCATAGAGCCGGCACATGAATTTAAATTATTGCCACAACACAAACTGCCAAGATATATTCAAACAAGTCAAGAAGTATTGGGAGATTGTTCGTAATTACATCCGTACCATATGTAAGCCTTTGTTTGTAGGAAGGATCCCACAGCAATATTTGAAAGATTGTTATACATACATACATTTGTACATATACGATTATACCTATATTAGAGAGCCACATTGAACTCTAAACTTATATACATACATGCCTACAATATGTTTTAAGAACTGTGGATTTTATTAACCAAAAGATTACTTTCACATGGGAAACCTAATGTGCGAAATAACTGTCCCAAGTGTTGTGGAAAATTAAAAGTCCATATGTTTTGTAAGCATACCAATAGATACTAAATCAACAATTTCCGTAAAGCCCCCTAAATAAGGCATATAAAACATCTTTTAAATTTGTAGTTTCTAAAAAAAATCCACTTCTGATAGGATACAAGTATTTGAGTATAAAAAGGAAAAGTAATATGCAAAACAATTGCCACAGGTTTCGTGTGGGCTTTCTGTGAAACTGTCGCGTTACCTTTGCAAATGGGAATGACGGCGAAGCTTCACAAACGTACTTACTCATAGTGGACCGACAGCAACACAATACGCAATGATAATAAACACTACATGAGGCAAACAACAAACCAACAAACAGAGAAACATGCGGTCCGAATGAGTTTTTGACTGACTATAGGGGCGGAGGCGGAACGATGGGCCGAGTGACGGGCAGACTGGATTGCGCGCTCCACCAGTTCAATTTCCGCCCCTTCAATGGCACGTCCCTGCCACTGCCCCCGCCCTAAAGCATCACACCATAGCGATACATATATGTATGTAAACAGAGAGAAAATATGTAACTGTTTGGAATCAAATAAAATATACAATTAGTTAGTCGTCATCGAAAAAAGAACACTTCCAGGCCGATCCAAAGATATTCACATTTAATATTACTCGGTAGCTTTTTACGGTGTCAAAAATTATAGACACTGTGCTAGTCTAACAGTATTTGGTAAAGTTCGCGTTTTACCGGGATGCCTGTATATTAATTGCAAAATATATATAGAAGAACAATAGTTAGTTTCCCACCTCCATTTGAACAAAACTCGACTAAAAGAAAGATATGTAAATTTATCTAATAAGGATAAATTCCATAAATCAAGAATATTTAAGTAAGAATGAAACTTGTTTGAATAAGTAAAAATATCTTAATTTTTCTCAGTGCCATTGAACTTCAATATATTTATGTAAGCCATCCGTAGACGAGCAAACAATCAAACAAACAGACAGAGAGACATACAGAGGGACACACAGACAAACTATTCAAGCTTTCAAATGTCAGCAAACGGAAACTGGTGGAAGAAGCTGCGCTTCTATTTGTACCGCACATTGTGCGCGATTGCGGCGAGATTAGTGGGCAAATATTCCAAATCTGAATAATCTAAAATCTTTACCTTAATTTTGTGTCAGAAGTGCTGCGAGCACTGAATGCTGAGCTGGCGGCGGGCAGACAGGAGTTGGGCACATCTCCGGTAGAACCGGACTATGCGGACACTGTTTTTAATGAGCTTGAGGAGGCCAGCAAGTACGATATGTTGAAGAAGCTGGAGGACGACTTGCGCATTGAGCAGGAATTGGTCGACAAATCTGCTTTGCTAATGAAACTGTTGGAGGTAAGTGCGATGCTTCGCAGCAATGCGTAGTCGCTGAGCCGATTTAACCACCACAGGATCCGACTCTGGAGACCCTTCCACTTGTCTACGTTGAGGAAGCACTTCCGGGTCCTGAAGACTATGTCGATTTCGTTGATGATAAACAGGAACTTGGAGACGCTAATGCTAAGGCAAAACGCAGTCGCTATTATCGTCGATATCCATGGAAGCGTCATAGCCGAAATCGCGGGTGAGTTCACTTGCCATCAATATCACCCACCACATAGTTTTCCTTACTTAGACAATAAGTTCATCATTGATTTGCCTATCTATCATCCAACATTATTTGAATGTTATTTCTGACTTTCTGGACTCTTTCTGAGGCAACAAAATTATCCATCCATCCATTTAACTCCAAACGGACATTTAATGGACAAACCACCCTAATGAAATGTTAAATGCAATCGAAATAAAAATACACTTTTGAGGTAAAGGACTGATTATGGGAAGTGTCTCAATCCCAACAGCCCCTTCTGCTAGGAAAATCATCTCCATCGATGCTGAATGGTGCCCACATTTTATTGTAAAACAAGGGAGAACGCTACAGTCGAGCAAGCCCGACAGTAAAATAGCCTGTACTCTCCACAAAAAAGAAAAATTTAAAAAGAAAAATTTAAAAAAAAATTAAATTCAATTATTAAAAAAAAATTGAATTAATTAAATTAAATTAGAAGACATGTTTATGTTCAGTTTTAACAGCATACATTTACATCACGTGCCTATGCATGTTTATATGCGTGTATGTATGCAGCATAAAGTTGAACCAAATCAGCAACAACAACAACAGCTGCGGGCAGCGCTGCCGGCAGAGCTGCAGGCAGCGTATGATTGACCTATCATGATGACACTTGGCATACGGACAAATAACCTCAAACTATGCCAAATTTGAGTTCAAAATTCCAAGAATTACACGAATTGCGGGGGAGTGTATCAGAAAAAACAAGAGAGAACGCTACAGTCGAGCAAGCCCGACAGTGTAATACCCTGTACTCAGGTAAACTTGCGTCACTGAGTTATATGCGCCCATAGCAGCAGCAAAAAGAGGAAGAAGAAGAGCGATTTTGTTGCTGCAGTTTGGTGGGGTTGTACTGGCGAAAATTTGTTTTGCTAATAACTTTTCTTAGAATTGAAATTTTGAACAACAATAGACAATTATATATAAATTATGTGTGCAAAGTTTGGTTTAGGTAGCATTTGAAATGTGGACGCTATTGGATGCCAACTTTGGTTATTCTAGCTTTTATAGTTTCTGAGATCCTTGCGTTCATCCAGACGGACAGACGGACGGACAGACGGACGGACAGACGGACAGACGGACGGACATGTCTAGATCGATTTCTCTCGTCATGCTGATCAAGAATATATATACTTTATGGGGTCGGAGATGCTTCCTTCTGTATGTTACATACTTTGCACAAACCTAATATACCCTTTTTACCCTACGGGTACAGGGTATAAAAACACAAACTCGATCTGCCTGGGGCTTAGGGGAACCTAAATGCCAAATTTGGTTATCCTAGCTATTGTACTTGCTGAGATCGTTGCGCTCATACAGGCAGACGGACGGACATGGCTAAACCGACTCGGCTTGTCACCCTGATCAAGAATATACTTTGTGGGGTCTGCCACGTCTCCTTCTGTGTGTTACATACATTCGCACACAGACCTAACAACAACAATGGCAACATGTAGTCACTGCTGAATTTATCGATCTATCGCTTAGTAAATCAGAAATTGTTGATGCTGCGTAAATAACACTTCTAATTACATAATATCACCATTATCAGCTCTTACATGAATTCTATTAACAGCAACTATGAACCGGAACTGCGCTACGCCTGCACACCTAGCAAGGAGGATATATTTAAGCTCCTCGTCAATCTGCATGAGAATCGAAAGGGCAATCACAGCAAGACGGTCAACTTTTGTAATCGCAAGCGACCTGCCAAGGCAGTCTTCACAAACATACGCTTTTTGGGCTAAATCGCTGACAAATATACGAATGACGGGACTTGGCAAATAAAACTCATCAAATCGGTCATACATGCACGCAGATACGCACACCCACACAAACACTAATTGCTCCATGGTAGAAAAGTTAAAGCATTAAAATTATGCAATTAAATTTAGCAGTTGCGACAATATTAAAATGTGTGCAAAGCTCAAAATATAATTTAAATAAGTATAACATTACCCTCCACACTATTGTCTACGCTGCCATAACATATCCACCCCTGCTCTCTATTCATCTAAATTAGCCCTCAAATTGCAGTCCCATTTCCTCTCTGGCTTTGAAAACAAACTATAACCTTACCTTTAAACTATCTGAAATGACACTCCTTACGGCCCACACACACACTAATGCAGGCACTAAGCTAATTTTATTCCTAAATGTGTTGTATATAATTACGCGTATACGAGTACATACCTGAATCCTTTATGGCATTAGCCCAATGAGTAATTCTGACTTGTCATATTATTTTAACTGCATATCTATGTATGGGCGATGGTTGCTATAAATACCAATTTTTAAAAATATATGTATATACTATATACCTATATATACTTTAACAATATATTTACCAATATTATCATTAGATTCTGTATGTGAAAAGTAATTTAAAATAATAAATATCAATGTATGAAGCTGGATATTTCGTTTTCATTTAATTGAAGAATTATTATGTGGTATATGTATGTATGAAATATCAAATATATGAAATATACTAAATAAATGAAAAGCTTCCCAATATTTTACTGACAGTTTTTATTTGATTAGTATTTTAAAATATTCGATGGTTAATGCAATAAAGTTCTCCGAAATAATTGTTGTCCCCTTTTTATTATAAAGATGATGCGGGGTGATGATTATATATATATATATATATATATATATATATATATATATATATATATATATATAAAACAGCCTCATATAACATTTCAGTAAGGCAAATGAAAGTAAATATGAGCCGTGTAAACTACAGTTGATATGTTCAAGTCGAGAGCCGCCGCCAACTGCAGACCTCCACACTTCTATCAAATATAGCATCACTGAGGAAAATAAAAGCCAGCAGAAGCTCTGTTTAGTTGACTTTGTGGTTGTTTTATTGGTGGTCTATTTACTATGAACTACCCGAAAATATTGCTTAGCCATGTCCGAAACGGCGCAAAGCACAGCGGTTTGGTAAGCCAAAGCGTGTCCACAGAAAGCTTCAGCACCTCCATGTAGTCGAAGGAGCAACTGCTCTGCTCAAAGGCTTTGATATTAACTTGGCTGCCCGTTCCATCTGACTGCTCCGCCCTCTTTCCTGTGGCGGCCGCACGCGCAAACGCCTCATCAGCATCGTAATAGTAGAACTCTTTGTGCGTAGAGTTTGTCTCAATGACTCGAGTGGGCTGATGGGCTTCCAAGCCGCGTGCCCAAGCCACTTCCCTACCCTGTCGGTAAGGGGTAAGTGGTAAAGGAAACTGTTGGAATTGCTGTAGTGGATAGCCGTATCCTGAAGCTTGCCACAACGGACGGGGTGGCCAGAGTCCTACGTTGGGTTGCTGAAGAAATTGCGGAAAACCAGCAACAAAATTTCCACCAAGGTTGCCTCCAAAATTGCTCCCAAGGTTGCCTCCTAGATTTCCCCCAACATTGCCTGCAATGTTGCCCCCAATTCCAAGGGCCAATGGCACAGTATCGCGGCAGCCGTTATCATCCTGATCCTGGAATATCTCCAGCAGAAATCCATTAGATTGCAGTCCCGAATAGCCGACGCGCATGCGCAGCGCTTTGCGTCCTTCGCCCCAGTATGACTTGTGAACATTCCCGGAACGACATCCGCAATAGCGCTGTCCATCTATCTCAATAAAATCTTGCGTACAGCTGCGCTGAACGCCCAACGACTGCGGCAATCCAGGACTTAAAGATTGACTGCCCACGCCCTCACTGCTTTGCCCGAAATCGAAGTATTTTAGATTAATACGCAGACGGCAGACGTTTGGAGAACTTTTCTCGATGTAAAAGGCGCAGTCGCGTTGTGGGGTTGGTAGGAAGTTAGCGAAAAGGGTTCGAGGAAAGCCCGGACTAGAGAGATAGAAGTGGGCTTGACTGAAGCTGGTAGCGCAACACAAATCCACTTGCCCTCCAAATTGTTGAAGACTCTGCGGATCATAGTCTTTCAGTGTGGGGGCGATGGGTTGGAATGCGTTTGTCAAATATTGATCCGATATGGCGGGCAATTGCTGATGTTGTAGTTGTTGAACTTCATGGGGAGGCAACAATTGTACGGATGTATCGGGACGATGGCTTAGTTGCTGTTGCAGAGCTTGGTTCTGGTCTTGCTGTAGTTTCTGTTGCAGCTGTTGGAGTTGTCGAAGCTGCTGGTGGTTCTGCTCAGTATTTATGCAAGGTTGGGCTATCAATGGTGAGCCCGGGGTTTGCCAATGCTGGGCTGTGCTAACGGGTAATGAACTTAAGCCATTGCCGTAGACGGGCAGATAAATCCCGTCTAAGGCAGATGCAGGTGTATTGGGATTCAAGTACGGCCGAGTTTGAGGTATGTGCTGGCTCTGCTGACTAACATTCTGGAACAATTGTGGCTGAAATATACCTGGTGATAGTAATTTTTTTGACGGGTTTAAGGAATTGATCTCCACCGTGTCCTCTTCATCGACATCAACGTCCAGGCCTCGCGACAGATCCTCCCGCTCGCACGCCAGACGTGTCACTATGAGCTTGAAGCCACGTGCCGTGGTCCAAGGTGAGTCGTCAGTAAAAAACCGCAATCTCAGCACACCGTCAAGCGTGCGATACTTCTTTATACCCACAACGTGGCCACACAACACGTCCATATCGTCTCCATCATTCTGCAAGCCTACAGCCATATAGTCATTTTTGCAGTTCTCGGATAACTCCAGTTGAAAGTCAAGGAATTGTATGTGGAACTTTGTGGAGCAGCGATAAGGCGATCTTATTACATAGTCCAGACACGTATTCATCGGATAGTTGTTAGGATAATTGGGCGACGCTATCACGCTCTGTCGCTGTCGGTACACACCCGATAGACCGCACTTTAAGTCTTCGTGTACTGCTGCAAAGCAAATCTCAGCACACAGCCAAAGGCTGATGGCAAACCCAAGGCAGTCCTTAAGCAACATGTAGAAGAGCGACCAAAATTGTAGTATAACTAGCAACCATATGCACCCAAGGTGCGTCAAAACACAACTAAACGGATGGGTGTGAGTCGAACCAAGCTTTTTCCCAAACATGTGTGACCTTTTTAGTTTCACTTACACCCAAACTTACAAAAATGTACTTCTATTCCCAGTATGTGTCTGCGGCAAAGTTTGAAAACAATTTGCACTTTTGTTTGCAGCGACAACAAAAGCAACCACTTGTTTGTATTATAGCACAAATGGTACCGACAAGAAACCGACGCAACAAAATTGTCTGGCATTCGATGCGGAAGCCAATTGTTGGTCTACAACCGATTCATCCTAATGCCAATACCGCATAATTGTCAATAGATGTGGGATTTTAACCTGCTTGTAGAATTCAGCACATTTAGCAATTATGAAAATTAACAGTACAATGCGAAAAGCCTCATAAACTGAACATTTTCCTTAAACACTGTCACCAACCAACGTTCATTATTTTTAAAGCAAATCTTAAATTATTTCCGACTCTGAGTCACTGTAAATTAATAATATTTAAAGATAAATGAGGAAATTACTAATTTTCGTCTGAAGACGCCATTCAGACAATCATTATATCAAATTTAATTCATTTATCTTAACTGTCTTATTGACGCATATTGAAGTCCATTGACATTAGAAGTGGAGAAATTTTGATATCGGCTCCATCGATGATCAAAAATAGTTTTTGAAAATTTTCCATAGTTTTCGATAGTATGTTGAATTAAAATAAATATGTTTAGAAAGAAATATATAGTTTTAAATTAAATAACAAGCAGAAATTTAATAAAATCCACATTTCGACAAGAAAATATTATTTACTGCCTTTCAGTGTATATTTATTTGAACTTAATAAATAAATTATATCCTGTCTACGCCCATGCGCCGAATCGCTTTGTCTCTCTGGATTAAGTATAAAACGACAAGAAAACAAATTCTGTTTCCAGAAGTGCGGAGATTTGCCAATCTTAAATGTGATTTAAAAGGCAATTAAAACCAAACATTTATTCAGAAGCGATAAAAACTTACAACGTGAATAAATTTTTTTAATCTGAGAACTAATCTAGAAATGTTACACAATTTAAGTCCGAATCATAGCCATTTTTATCTAATTTATTTTGATGCAAGAAAATAAATAAAACTGCGAAATGACTGCAACGATGGGAATGGAAATATAAGTCTATTCGCAAAATTTAACGCATCAGTCCCACTTTATTCACTGTACAGCTAAGTTCAAAATGTTTGCTACATCTTTACAACAGTCAAACTACCGCAACGAAATTGGCAAGGAAGATTGGGAAATTAAAGGGATACCCTACCAGTATGAAATTACTGATCATGGCTATGGCAAGGACGCTGTAAAAATACTCTATGTGCATCGGGATGGGCCGGTCCATTCGATTCATGAGCTAGAAATTGGAACGCATTTGAAACTATATAGCAAGAAGGACTACTACCAAGGCAATAACTCCGATATTGTGGCAACAGACTCTCAGAAGAACACTGTCTACCTGTTAGCCAAAAAGCATGGTATCGAGAGTCCCGAAAAATTTGCTCTGCTGCTGTCAAGACACTTCCTCAATAAGTACGCTCATGTAGAGGGTGTTCATGTCCATGTTGAAGCCTATCCCTGGCAGCGTGTCTGTCAGAATGAAACCACAACAACTCTCAGCAACAAGGAGCGAACCAACAGCAACTTTAGCTCCTTCAACAATCGGAAGTTGCACAATCACGCCTTCATCTTTACGCCGACGGAACAGCATTACTGTGATGTAGTTATGCGTCGTCATGGTAAGAATCAAGTATACCCTTTTTTCCGTCACCTCTTAATGCACAATCTTTTTCAGATCCCAAGCAGTCGGTCATAAGTGGCATCAAAAACCTACGCGTCCTTAAGACCACACAGTCGTCGTTTGTTAATTTCGTGAACGACGAATTCCGTTCGCTTCCAGACCAATACGAACGGATCTTTAGCACTGTCGTCGATTGCTCTTGGGAATACTCTGAGACTGACATGCTGGAGTTTGGCGGCGCTTGGCAAACCGTGAAGAACATTATCCTGAAGAATTTTGCCGGTGATCCAAACGTTGGCACCTCGTCGCCCTCGGTCCAGCACACACTCTACCTCACCGAAAAAGAGGTGCTGGACGTGCTGCCCCAAGTCTCAGTTATCTCGATGACAATGCCGAACAAGCATTACTTTAACTTTGACACCAAACCTTTCCAGAATATAGTGCCCGGCGATAACAATGAAGTTTTCATTCCCGTCGACAAACCTCATGGCACAATTTATGCCCAACTGGCGCGTAAGCACATAAAGAGCAATCTTTAAACAATAATATCAACCCTTCATAATTGGAATTATTCTATTGCACAACATAATGAATGGAGTTCTGATTTAATACTTTTTTGTCACAATCACGGTATGATTATATGACTAAAATTTGGTTTACAATATCTTTTAATATAAAAACACTCCTATTTTACGTTTTATTAAATAAATAAACAAATTTTTAAAATCTCATTCTTCAATGTATATTTATTACAACATATGCTTATTACTTTCAATCAATTTATTCCCCCTTATTATTAATTTACACCAACTTAAAATTTTTTTAAGCTATACATACACCATGTCGTCAGTGACTTCATACAACTGATGTGTTAAATCGTTAGTTCCCAATGCCTCCTCATATCTCTGGCGGTCCTCCATCTCCAAGGGATACCAGTCAGTAGCCCGACAAGCGCGCTTAAAGCGCATACAAAAGCTGCCGGTGTTCCGAAACATAATGTAAACTCCGTAACTGGGTATGTATAATAAAGGTGTTATCACCAAAACAATGCTAATAAATCCGATTGAACTCGAGGAGAAGGAGTGTTCCATAAAGGCGACGATTACACAGGTTAACTAAAAGAAAATATTGGTTGGTTTTAAACGTTTTTTCTCTTGCAGTAGAGCATTCACGACGCACCAGTGTAAATAGAAGAAAAAGTGGAGCTACAAAGCGTAGTACATTTATTTTCCAGGAAGCAAAAGTTTCGCCAATCATAAACTTAATGTCACGCTGAAAACGCTCCCGTCCATAAATCCAAAGGACCACCAATAGAAGCAGTAAGTGCAGGAGGGCTTGTACGAGGAGCGAGTCCATGGACAAAGCAGTAAAGTACAGAACGCCATGCTGTGAAGATAATACAACGAAAAATATGGTCTTACGAGAAAAAGCTATTTTTTCTACTTACATTGGAGCAGAAGTAAAGTGAGCAAAGAGCCAGCGAAATTATAAATCCATATGTTACCTCCTGCTTATACTGCCGAAGCTGCTCAAACTCGTCAAACAGACTGTTTAGAATGGTAAAAATTTGAGTGACCTATGTATATATTTAAAAGTGAAATACATAAATAAAAATTTAAGTTAAAAGGTGAGACTTTTGCGCAACCTACTATAACTATCACGGAAGCCATTAGAAGCATGGTGTAATACATAAATGTCCACATATTAGCCCATTCCAATGAAGCTAAAACACTGGCACTTGGAATAAATAGCACCCAATGACTTTGCATATATCTATTGATATTTTCGGGCGTAATCTCTAGAGAAAATTTTCAAGTTTTGTGATTAATAAACTGTCAGTAAGAGCTTGCTGTTTACCTTTAAAATAGTGAAGAAGCATAAAAGATACCAATCCAAAGAGCATGAAAATGAACAGCTGTCCAAATGCTATAAACCAACTATGGCTCATTATATTCGTCTTAAATTTGTTGAAACTGGAGAGGGACATTATGCTGCCCCATCCCGCGCCGAAAGCTTGAAGCGCAAAAACCGGTATGGAGGCGGCACCTTGAATGAAGTCATGAAAATCAGGTCTTACATAGTGCTCGATGCCAGAGAGGGCCCCGGGCAAAAACAAGAAGCGTAAAAAGCACACAAGCAACAGGCCTAAGGTGATTGAAACCATATAACGCAGACACTTTCCAAACTGAAAATAAAACATTTCAATAAATGAATGTCCGTCAACCTTACTAAAGATCTAAATCTCTTAAAAATGTTCTGTGATTTCTTATTATTTTCTTTTGTTCAACAAAGCAAATTTGACTTATTCTAATTTTTGTTTATAGCTTACAAATACGTTTTATTTATAATGCGAGTTTTCGCATTTAGCTCTGCAGCTATCAGTAATTTTGAGGGTTAGAGATCAAAATGTATTTATATAAAGGAACTTTTTTTTAGCCATGTGAATAAAATAAAAACAAGATAGAACGCTACAGTCGAGCAAGCCCGACAGTACTCTCCCCAAAAAAGGAAAATTTAAGAAAAAAAATTATTTAAAAAAATTTAATTTATTAATTAAATTAAATATAAAATATTCAAACATGCATACATACATAAGTGTTTATATACAATTTCAATAGAATAAATTTACATCATCGTGTCTCTGCGTGAATGTATGCAGCACAAATCAGAATTGAGCAATCATGATGAAACTTAACATACGGCCACATAATCACTAACTGGATGTAATCATCAAATTTGAGTTCCAAATTCCAAAACTTACGGGAGTTATGGAAAAAAGACGATTTGCGGGGGAGTGTGGGGGTGCATCGAAAAAAACTTAAACTCGTACTTTCTCGGACTTAGGAGAATCTGGATACCAAGTTTGGTAATTCAAGCACTTATACTTTCTGAAATCCTTGCGTTCATACAGACAGGCGGACGGACAGACAGATACAGACGACTCGACTTGTCATCCTGATCAAGAATACTTTATATACTTTAAAATACTCTGTACATATGTATAGAATAATTATGCGTGTATGTGTGTGTTTGTGTGTGCCTGTGTAAGTCTCTGAAGCTAAAGCTAAGTCTCACCTCCCGAAAACCTAATAAAAATTAAATAATTTGTTTTCTTTAACTTGTACTTCAAAAGCCACCAGAACCCATGAATTTAAATAATTAAATCGATGCCTGCCCCTTTACTTCAGCCTCTAGGAGGAAAATTTTATGTTATCAACCACATCGCCGGTCGGAATATGCAACTAATATGAAATAATGACACTTTCGAGATGATCAAATGCTCAATATACCTTTGGGGCTTCATTGAATTGATAAAATATAAACGATACTAATCCCCAAACCAGCATTGTGACCCAAACAATGGGGAATGACATGTTGTATTCTACATCGTTGTCTATGTACATGTCCAATTTTTCAAATTGTTGCCTGTAAAAGAGATCATGTATTATATTGAGAATTTATGGATAATGCTATTTAATTATTTACTTACTTAAAGAACAACATGGCCGGCACATGAATCATTTTCATATCAAACAGTTCATTGTCATAATCGCTTTCATTCACTTGCGATGTTGATATATTACAAATCTTTACAGTAAATAAAATGTTAGAAGCTTAGAACTAGTGAATAACAAAAAAATACTTGCTGTTTCAGTATCATTCGGAAGATTGGGCCAATCCTTTATACCTTCACAGCTCCAAGGTAACGTTGGCTTCAATGAGTTTATAGCGAAAAGAAATGGTATTGAAGCAAAGAGACTATAGTAGGTCAGCACAGATGAACTCAGAGCTAAGCTGACATAGCCCATACCTATAAGTAAAGACTTTTTCATTATTTAATCCACGATTTTTAGTAAGTACGGCTTAAAAACCTTTGAAGAATGGTGATATACGAAAGGCGGAGATAAAACCACTGCTCGAAAACTGACCCATAAATGTATGTATGACCATAAGGGGCACCAGATAGATAGCCATATATACATAGTAAGGTAAAATGCCAGAAACTATAAAACAAATTAATTAAGTAAATAATCAGTGGATGTCGAACGCTTCGGTTCAGATTAGGAGTGCAATGACACAATTAAAAATATGCCTCCCCCAAATTATACTGCCTCTTGGGACACTGTAACATATATATACATATGTATGTATATTTTAAATGGCAAATAAAAAGTCTATACATATACATATTTTTAGCGACAACAAGTTGAAAAGGTCAGATCCTTATCATGCGTTAAATCCATATTTCAATTGCGCAAAAGAGTACTCAATAATAAATTATATTTTTGACTGTAATTATTGGACGAAAATACTTACGCCCCATATCATAGAAATACCAATACGATGCTGAAAACACATCCAGTTTTAGGCCGAGTCCAAGGCAGGCGAACACAAAATCATGCGGCTGCTCCCATTTCCCTCGAAGTAGGTCCGGTTTGAAGGGATGTCGCCCACATTCGTAGGATGTCTCATAGACCATGCTGGCAGTTATTATTTTGTCACAAAATGTTCTCAACTTAATCTCAAACACACTATAAAAGGCAATTCCAATTACTTTGCTGTCATCATAGTTACACTTGGACTTGCACTGAGATCATAACCGACCGTTCCAGCAACAGACGAATACTAAGCGATAATATTAATATGCACAAAATAATATAAATTGTGGGCAATCTAGACAAATAAAACGAATGCAGCTCGAATTAACGATGAGTGTTTCCTACATCGTGCTTCTAGCGCAGATTTAATTATTATTGCGATATTGCCTCCGCACACATCGCTCAAAAAAAGCACATCGTACGAGTATTAATTCTCTTTTAAAAACGGAGAACTGTTTGCAGTGATTATTTTGCTACCTTCATTCATAATTAATTCCTTTCCATTATAGCATTTATGGAAAACTTTTGTGCCTTAATATACACTCAGAAAAACTGTATATGTAGAATGTACATCGTACATATGGTATGAAACGCGTTTTTAAGCCAAAAACAAGTGGAAAAGCTCAAATCGGGTGCTCCGACTTTGAAATACTCTGTTCCTAACTAAGCAGTTTATCTTTCTATTATTAATATTTATATTCTTTGACTTACCTACACTATACAAGAAAACTTGAGTGCAATCTTTAGCTTCTTAACTCTTACAATTGGGGCTGTGCGTTGATCGCCAATAAATCAGTCAGTCAAACTGTTTTATATACTTGCCCGCCTTTGATGGGATCAGTATTTTTGCTGACAATTATAAGTTTATTTAGAATATGCTTTTTCTCTTCCTACACTGTAAAGTTTCTAAAAGAACTGACAATAGCAAGTTACTTTGGTACGTTCCAAAAGCTAGGGCATTTAGTACAATTCATACTGTGACCATACACGTACTATTTACATACATACATATGTACATTTCTAAAAAATTAAATAATAAATGTGTGGGAATATGTGAAATTTCTGAAAATTGAAATAAAAATATTGTGGACGCCCTCCTCTGCGATTCTCATACCAAGTACCTAAGCGCTAGCAAATCGAGAATTAAATAGTGAAATTTAAAAGTTTAAATTGTGAAATTTCTGAAAAATTAAAGGAAACAAACTGTGGGCGCCTTCCTCTGCGATTCTCAAACCAAGTACCTAAGCGCTGGCAAATCGAGAATTTAATAGTGAAATTTCTGATAAATTAAGTAAAAATATTGTGGAATTAAATTCTGAAAAATTAAATAATAAATTTGTGGATTTGTGAAATTTCGGAAAAAATTTATAATAATATTGTGGTATTAAATTGTGAAATTTCTGACAAATTAAAATAAATAAATAATATTGTAAGCGCCCTCTTCTGCGATTCTTATACCAAGTACCTAAGCGCTGGCACTTCAAGAATTAAATTGCGAAATTTCTAAACAAATAATAATAATTGGAAGTTGATCGGTAGAAAATTAAGATTTGCAAACTTTTCAGCTCGTTTTTCCCCCTTTGGCGTTTGAATTTTCCACAATTGCTGTTAGTGCTCACCTACACTATAAAAGAAAGTATACAAACTAAGTCTGAAGTTAATCAGGTGAAAATTTTAGAATTTTTTTTACAAACGTTGTAGCCCATTTTCCCCCTATCGAGCTCGAATCAGTCAGGACAAACTGTTTTATACTTATACTATATATAAAGATGTAGGTAAAAGTATATAGAGATTGTTAAATAATTTAAAATATATATTAGTTTTAACTAAGCCCTTTTTCTATAAAAATGATTTAATAAGCACTAATTATTGGAAAATTTTGTTTAACAAAGTCGGCGGTCATTTATTTCAGTTCACCAAATTTAAAATTGTGAGTCTTTTATAACTACACATTTTCAGGTCTTTTGTTTCGTATAAATTATTTGGCATTCAAAATTCGTCTAAATTGTTCGTGAAACTTAAAAAGGAAAGATTGTAGACCAAAGGCTTTTCATCATGACCCAACGATTGGCCTTGCACCAAATCCTCAATAATCAGCTAAATGACTTTGAGAGAGCCAAACATGAGGACCGAGTGCTGGCCAAGGCAACACAAAAGGAAAAGGCTGCCTTGAGAGTTAATGCAAAGGCTGCAACTATGTACTCGAGATATTTCAACGAGCATCGTGACGTCAAGTCCACTTTCGATAAAATTGTTGCGAATATTCACTCCAATATGAAGGGTGAGTTTGTATCATTCAAACTGATTTACATATTTCGAAAAATTGGCATTCTATATCGCCAACAGCGACGCATCCACCACGAAAATCTGTACCTGCCATACCTGAGCCAATTGCACAGATTCCTGCCCCGCTACTTCCACAGCCAGACAAATCGAAAAATGGTCGCCGAATAAAGGGAGGAGCGAATTCCCGAGGCGTTATAACGGCCAGCAACAACGCGTTTCTGTCTATACCGGCCATAAAGGCTACCATTGAGCATAAAACCCAGAAGATGATGCGACGCGGCTTAACTGAGATCAATCCGAAAAACTTTACCAACCAGAAACGCATACGAGAGGTTCTGCAGCAGAAATCGGTGCTAGAGACAATGTTGATGCAGCACAAGAGATTGCAGCGCGATAGACAGATCATAGCACTGGACATTAAGAGAATGCGCCAGGATCTGGATAGAATCAGAAACAAGTTGGACACGTCTCTGCAAAGTTTGAACTCTACTCGTACCATGTTCACCGGTGCCACTACCCCTAAGGGAAAAAAGGCACCGACACGCTCCTCCAACAGTTTAAACAATTCTCCACATAGACGTATAGTTTCGCATTCCAAACAAAAGACAGCTGCACGGTCTCGGAGTGATTCACCCACACGACCCGTTCATGTTACGCTGAAACGACAACTTGCCGCGCCAAAGACCTCTATGAAGCGGCGTAGTCGTACCTAAGTAAATGATTCTTAAATCAAGGAAATAAGCCAGTAGAAAAACAACAATGTTGAATAATAATTGGAACAGCAACCGTTTACAGCCACCAAAAAAGTAGTCTTTTCAGACATAAAAACTAAAATAAATACAAATAAAAACAACCATCTTCCCAGTATTCCCGCCTAGATTTCTGTTAAGTTAATTTTAATGCTAAATCGAATCAAAAAACAATTCTGATAATCTTCCCAACGTATGCACTCGAAAACTAAGAAAGGGAGTTTCTTTTAAAAGTTGGAGAAAAGTTAGCATGTCTGTTATTTCGGTTTTGCATATGCATACTGCCATCAAAACATTGTTTTTTGTCGTGAAAACACTTATGGCATAACTAACTTTATATAAAGTTCATATGTTGTATTCGAAGTTTGTTATTAATAATTAATGGTTTATGTTAAACTTTATTACAAATAGTATTTCTTCTATACAATTGTTAATATCGTTAAATGTGTATTATTAGGCATTGCGCTTTTAAGATTGTTAGAACATATTTCAATTGGTTTGATCACAACGAAATGATTTGCTCTTAATAAATAAGTTTAAAACTAAATTTATTTAACAAATAGCGCAATTTTCTTGTGTCTTAAAGAAATAAACATATTTGAATATTAACGTCATTGATTACATATATTAAAATTATGGAGCTATATTGCAGCCCTGCTGGTTCATTTTAAAGCATGGTTTTATTGAACTAGTATGGCAGTTCAGGAGAGCTGCCAATTTTGCAGCGGCAGAGTTGTATCTTATGGCGTCTAGTTTTCGTTGTTGAAATTTTTTTTCATTTTCTTTAACTAACTATGTTTTATTCACATTGATTAACTAAGTTTTAAAAGTAATTCCAAATATAACAAAATGGGTTCATCCAAAAAACATAAAAAGAATAAATCAGAACGACGAGATAAATATGAGGGTATGTGTAATGTTTTAACAGATTTTGCAATTTCTAAATGCATATTTATTTGTAGAATATAGTCAAGATCCGTCGCAGCTGCAGCGCGGCTTGAAACTCATACTTAAGGTGGGAACCAACTCCACACCCGAATATAGCGCAAATTCGCCCCTCACCTCTTTGGATGGGCCGCCCACCGCTGCCGAAGCCATGATGTCGGCAGCGCCTAGCAGTCCTCTGCCAGAGGAATTACAGTTTGGCGGTGAGCGTGAACGTCACAAAAAGTCCAAAAAGAAAAAAAAGAAAAAAGACCGTGAGAAAAAGCACAAACATCACAAAGAGAAACGCCACCGCAGTGAACGCCGTGATAGTAATGGAAGCAAGGTCCGGCATCGGGATACATTCTCGACAGAGCGGCTAACAGATGAAGTGTCCGCCGTCGACGATGGCGGCTGTAGTAGCTCTGCATTGCAAAGAAGCACTGTAAGAAGCTTGCCTCATAATGTGGCGCAAGCACCACCACAAACCGATCCTGATTCAAGCCAAGACGGCTTTAACTTTATGTATAACGACAACGACAATTCGCAGCAGCTGCCAGAAAATATATTATTTTACTCAGGCATAACAACGGATAATTCACCCTCAAACTGCCCGGTAACGAAACCAATAGTGCCGCGCAAAATTGAGGAGCTTCTGCTAGGCTCGCCCACATCCTCCTCGCTACAGTCTTCCTCGATAAGCATGGTGGGCGGCAGTCCAACGAAGCCACTTCCCGATGTGAGTATTAGATGAGTATAACTTTATTTGAACAAATATAAATATATATTTTGTGCAGCTGCTGATTCCATCGCCGTCTCCTTCAACGGGAGGCGCCAGCTCCCTAAATGGGCTTACGCCCAAACCGCTGGAAGCACCGAAAACTCCGAGTACATCGAGCGAATCAGGACGCGAGCCGCGCAGTTGCGTCCTTAAACTCAAACAGCAAAAATCACCGCTCAACAAACTTCTGGAGCATTTGCTACGGTTTCTGGAAAAACGCGATCCTCACCAGTTTTTCGCATGGCCGGTGACCGACGACATCGCGCCTGGCTACTCTTCCATTATAAGCAAACCAATGGACTTTTCGACGATGCGTCAGAAAATCGACGATCACGAGTACGCAACTCTGACAGAATTTAGCGATGACTTTAAGCTGATGTGTGAAAATGCCATTCGCTACAATCATGTCGACACCGTCTACCACAAGGCGGCGAAGCGGCTTCTGCAAGTGGGTGTTAAGCATCTGCAGCCGGACAACCTCATGCGCAGTCTTAAACCGCTATCTGGTTTTATGCGCGAACTAACGGCGAAAGAGCTGGGCTTCGAACTGACATCCAACGAGTTTTCAAATTACGACGGTCATGATTCAGGTGATGAAGGTGCATCAACGGGTGCTGAGGAACCCACACCGGCGCAGATTGAGGAAGAGGAACGCAAACGCGCGCTACGATTGGAAAATGAACCAAAAACACATTTTGAACCCTATGTGGATGATATGACTGGGGAGGAGATACTTGCCCAGGTGCAAGGTGCCGCCCAGAAGGCTAAGCAGCACGTCAGCGCTCAGCAAAGAGCATATAAAATGGGCTTTTTGCGCCAAAACAATGACGGCACTACCTCACTAAATCTGTTGATCAAGGACGAAAACGAGGGACCCGAGAAGGTGATTACCATCGGCGACCTTGTGGGTAAATTGCAGTCCGGAAGCGGCCAACTACAAGGAATGCGCAAGGACAAGCGCAATAATCTCAAGCCGGTGAAATCTCTTAGCTACGGAGCATATGCATCCTTTGCTCCCATATTTGACTCGCGCTTCTCCATGCTTAGCGCTGAGGAGACGCAGCTGGTGCTGCGCACATACGGCGATGCGTCCAGTGCTGAGTATGCCGAAAGCATTCTACAGTTCACGAAAGACTCCAGCTATGCGAACACACTTGCCAACGGCCTGCTCGACATTATGACCAATGGGGAGCACAGCAAATCCTTGGACGAGCTTTACAACATACAGCTACAAAATTATGAGCGGCAGGAAATCGATAAGTGCTTCAGCAGCACAAACGGCGATGACGAGGAGATGTCACTTTCCACTGCAGACTCGCGGGAGCTCATTGAACAAGAGTATGAGAAATATAAAAACACGCGAGTCGACTTCAAACGTCTGCGCTCGCTCAAGGAGCTGGGTATCGATGTGAGCTTTCTGGACGACATGGAGAACAGCATGAAGGACTTCGAGCTGACGCGTCGTCTACAGGAACATCTCAGCAACAATCTCACTCTGATTGAAAAGCTGCGTGTTACGCAGCACGATCGATTGTCTCAACTTCTTCCCGCACATCTCGCTATGGTACCACAGGCAGGGCAGGAGGAGACGCACGTCGCTCACCAGTTGACGCAGCAGCTGACCGATTTGGCTAAGAAGCTGCCACCCTCCGCCATCGCCGATCCGTACGCGTTACGGAAAGCCATGGGCATGTCCTGTGGTAAGTAGGCCTGCTAAATCAACCAAATAGTCTCCAAATAATTTTCGTTTTTCTTAAACAGTCGGCTTGCCGCCGGCACCGCAAGTATCTCCACGCATCCCCTTGCCGGAAGCTCTACAACATCAGGTGGCTTTGCCCCAGCTACAGCTACCGGGCAACGTACCGGGGGTATCCATCCCCATGGACATTGATGAGCAGGACGAGCCAACTGGTGGAGACTTGGAGAACGAGTTGCGCGAATTCCTAGAGAGTGGCTCCGGTCTGCACGCCACCAATTCGACTGAGGATAACAATATAGTGGCGCAGCTATTCTTAAATTAACAACGTTTACAAATTGATGTAAGATAATTTAACTTTCTCACTTAATTCTTACACCACTTAAATTACATACAACATAAATTTTAAGGCATATTATTCATTCTTTAATTTGCAAATCATTATAGGTAGCAAATATATAAAACAGTATATATTTGTTATGTTTTCTTTCTACATATTTATGTAAGTATGTGGACGTTTTGTAAAAGCAGCAAAAATAGTTTTTAACTACAATTACGTACACAAGTGATTTTATCAGTAGAAGGCAAGATGTTTAACATTTTCAGGTCCAACAATTGTTTTTAACGAACATCTTAATATTTGTATTAATAGGTACAAAAACTGGCAAACATTACTGAATATACACATAAGGACAATTAATTACATTTTCCTTTCACATACAAAACATATAAAATACCGTAAAATTGAGAAACTTTCTGCTTAGCTTAATGAACATTAAGTGGTACTTTTTTTTATCATATTTTTGTTTGGTGTGATGCCGAGGTAGAACATTTCTCAAATCAATCCCATATATGTGGGGTAGTAAGTACAATGCTGTAAGCTTTTCCGATTAGATTTAAGTAGTGCTAAGTCGATGGCTTATTTGGACACAGTTTGAGTTTCTTCATTGAAATTTCCAGAATATGGAAATTAATTAAATTAGATTAGCATCCTTGGCCATGCTGTAAAAGGCTGATTTCGGATTGTCCAATAATTCGGTGGGCGAGGAGAACTCTTTAATAACGCCCTTGTCCAACACAATAACCTTATCGGAATCGAGTATGGTGTTTAAACGATGGGCAATGGTCAGCACTGTACAGCCTTTGAACTCGGAACGAATGGTTTTCTGTAAAATACAAACATTTAGTGGGTCGGGTGGGTACAGAAATGTTTTTCCTCACTTGTATTAAATCATCAGTTTCCAAATCAACAGCAGCTGTGGCTTCATCGAGCACTAGCACCTTAGTTTTACGCAGCAGCGCACGGGCCAAGCAAACTAACTGCCTCTGACCGACAGACAAGTTCTCACCGCCCTCTGAAATGCCATGATTCAGACCTGCCGGTAAGCTCTTCACAAAGGTCTTTAGGTGCGATAGCTCCAATGCTCTCCAGATTTCATCGTCGGTCTTCACGTCGAACGGATCCAAATTTATACGTAGCGAACCAGAAAACAGCACCGGATCCTGAGGTATAATCGTTAAGCGTGATCGCAGCATGTGCAGACCCAAGCTGGCAATATCAACACCATCTATCAGAATACGTCCCTCAGCAGCCTCGATAATACTACGAAATAAGAAAAGATATTCAGATTTAATCAATAAATTTGTGAAATTGTGCTAGAGTCTATAATGGAAATGAAAAATAGGTGTCCGCACTATCGAGATTGCAGTGCACTTAAGTTTTAAAAGCTAATATTAATTAGGGTACATACCGGAACAGAGCGAGGGTCAAGCTTGATTTGCCTGCACCTGTGCGCCCCACAATGCCGACCTTTTCACCGCCAGCTACGTTGAAGGTTACGCCACGTAGGACCAGATCCAAGCCCTCACGATAACGCACCTTGAAGTTTTCAAAAGCAACACGTCCCTCTTCGGGCCAGTGTTTCGGTTTCGACTTGTCCTGCTCCAGCTCCCATGCCGCCTCTTGTTTCGTTTCACCGTACTCCTTAATGCGCTCCACCGAAACTATATTCGTCTCAATATCCGAGGTCATGCGCACCAGCCAGTTAAGAGTCTGTGTCACCTGCAAGGCGTAGCTTACCGACAACCCAACAAGACCGGGATTCTTCTGGCCACCGAGCACGGCGAACAATGAGGCAAACAGAATGATGAGATTGCCAACCATTTCCAGTCGAACGGCAAGCCAACGATTTGCAATCATGGATGGATACTTGCACACTTGATTTTTATCCACCTTCGCGTCCGATTCCTCAATGAAACTTGGGATAGAAGAGGAGTTGGAATAAATTTGTTGAAAGACACGTCGCAAACAACGTATATTTACCGATCCTCCACAGTATAGGCACGAATCGTTGAAACCCCCGTAACCGTCTCGCCGAAGTGCGAGTAAATTGGTGAACGCGATACGGACTCCAATCGCATTAATTGTCTAGATGTTGCGACGTAAAACCGCTGAGCAAAGTAGTATAAGATCGCTATAGGGATGATGACAACCAGAAAGATTGGCGTAGATAAGCTTATAACCACAATAGTGGCCAAAACCTTGAATATTCATAAAGGAAAGGGGGTCATAAAGAGAAAATTTCATTAGCTTGGAATTTATGAATAAATTTTCCAATTTGAAAAAGTGTTGTGTGTGGTTTTGTTAGTTGGTATTGGGTTTTATGTATTAATTAATCATATTTTTTCACACGATTAAGCGGCATTTCTTGATTTAAGTCATGTGTTTTCAATTTTAGGTTAGTTGAGGGTTTGCCGATTAGTTTATGATTCTAATGATCAAAATAAAATTGCAGTTCCTTTCTAGTCAGAGGCTAATCTTAAAAAAAATTACCTCAAATGCACACCACAGACACTCGTTTAAAAGTGTGGGCATTTTCTGATCGAGGGTCTCAACGTCTTTTGAGAATCTCGACAATATGCGACCAATCGGAGTGATGTCAAAGAAACTCAAGGGCGCACGGAGCACGTGTCCCAAAAGAAACGAGTGAAGTATATAGGCTGCATGCAATGCTCCAAATGCGGGTACTAAATCCACCCCGATCGAAACCAGACCTGCGATTTATGGGGGGTAGAAGGCGGACATTAAACTTAGATGCAAGGTCTGGCCTTGGTTTGGCGGAATATGTTAGCGAACATGCATCTGGCGCCCAACAACCACTCTAAATTTGTATTTTTTTAACAACTATTAAAAAGTTTGTAGAGGAAACAACATTTACTTAGTTAGCCTCTTATTATCACGGATTTTACTTTATTTTAGTATATATTAGATGAATTAGAAAACAAACTTTTGTACAAGTTTCATAACTTGAGGACCTTCGTCACCAATTTTGAGGCCAAAAGGAAATCATTCGAACATGACACAAATTGAAGCTCATCTACAAGTAGTGGTGCTGGACTAAGCATAATGAAATGCCACCGATCAGATCACAAAATTTGTATTGAAAAAAACAATATAAGGATTGGAGCAAAAATCCCTAGTAAAATTAGATGATAATGAAGCTTGTCAGATGCTCCAGCAATTGAGATTACTCGAGTTATATACTTATGCTTGTTAAATGAAATATCAAATAATATATGTATGTAAACAGAGATGAAAATGTCGAAGAGGAAGACAAAATTTGTTTGTTATTGTGCAATACTGAATTATGTAGCAATGATTGCAAGTACAAACCGTAAATACTACAGATAAATAAATTTATCTACAAACCAAACATTCATTGACTGTGAATGGCCGTGGATAGGCAGAGAAAGAATTTTGTAAATGTAAAAAAATACCATAAAAATAAAGGTTAAAAATGTGTCCAGGGTGCCGGGCAATTCCTCGTCAATAACATCCATATCAGCGCTGAAATTATTCAATAGCCGACCAATGGGCGTTATATCAAAAAATCGGCATACCGAGCCTCTGATGATAATATGCAGCAGTTCGTTGTGAATCTTTAAGGCCGCTTTAAAGGTGCCATAGTAGACGATTACAACCGCGAAGTAGGCAAACACACCTTAACGGACGAGATTGAGAGCGAAAGCACAAGAGGGATCAGTATGGAAAGGATTAAGAATAAAGCAATTGAAAGACCGCTCTCGTCATTACTACTTGATCTAGGAATGTGGGAATGAACCCTTTACCAAACGCTTATGAATACTCGTCCAGCAGAGCTACATTTTGAATGAATTGGAAAAAGAGGCCAGTTAAAGCAATATTATAGGTTTTGTAGGTTTGTGCACACCACCTTAAGATTATTCAGGTATGGCTCATTGAATAAGGCATATTATCTGCTTAGTTATTAAGCTTTAATCATCAAACCTCATACAAAAAGCTTGCCGCTCAATGATTAATCTGTGAGCAGTTAAGATGTCGCTTTCAAAACTGACGATTAAAGCAATATTAAAGTTTCTATACAGTTGTGTATGTTATTCAAATATTAATCGGGTATAGTTGTTTATTATGGTGTTCACGAAAGGTCGATTAGTTTCTTAAATATTAAAAATTAATAATCAATTACCAAGCAAAGCAGTTGCCTAATGTTAGTTAAAAGTTTTGATTCGTCTTTATTCAGTTGAGCTACTAATCAACCCTTCGTGAAGGCCTGAATGTGTTTTATGTTTTATGACTTAAATCAAGTACCGTGTTTTATCATTCAATTATATGTTTACTCGAAACTGTTTTAATAAAGCGAATGTTTCGAATCCAATAACATTTAAGTTTTTGTTTCTTTTTTTGACTGAGAGTGGGGACCTAATGAGTTAGAAATCTGCCAGCTGTGTATTACTGATGATCGAGGTTAAAACGAGTTTGATTGTTTACCGAAAAGCATGTCGACAGAAATTGCTGCATGATTGTGGGCAGTGTATTGTCTACTGTATCTATATCCTTTGAGAAACGACTGATGATGCGCCCTAAGGGCGTTGTATCAAACAATTCCATTGGCCACTTGAACACCATGTTGAGCATTTTTGTAAATACGTCCATGGAACAGCTCAGACAACCAAGTGCCAAGCACAGTCCAGATATATATCGTGCAGTTACTACATGGAGTGTAAACAGAGTGTTGATATTTTAGCGGCGCATAACTTCTAAAGCTTTAAATTACATTGTACATGCTAGGCATGCGAGCACTATGATTAAAGAGTTAGGGCCCCACAATATTATTACTGTACATATTTACAAACAAATTGGGACATTATTATTTAAACAACTGTGTTAAACACATGTACATATGTTTTGCCCCTCAGTCGTCCCTAACCAGTCTACTATATGAGACCACATGCATTGAGACTAGTGCTGTCAAGATCACAGAGGATTTTGTGACGAAAATTGCGACGGAAAGAATGAACAAATGAACATTGTTTTTATAAAAAAATAAAGCCACCTCTGGCCAACTTAGACTTCTAATTAATTAAAAAATATTAGATTTATGTGCATATATGGATCTTGTTCTCCAGTATTCTGTATTAAGTCAAAGAAAAACTAATCAATCGCTCTTGGGTATTGATTGGGTCTAGAAATCTCTACAAATCTGTACCTTTTTATTCTATTTACACACTTCCACACTTTCTCTTTACTTCATTCTCATTTATTTAAATGCAATCTTAAAATTTCAACACCTGGAATGGTATTCTATTTAAATCTACGATATGATTAAATCAAGTTTAATTTACCGAAAACAGTTGACTTATACACATTCGCCAAAGCATGGGTAATGTATTATCAACTGTGTCAACATCTTTCGAGAATCGGTTGACAACTCTGCCCATTGGCGTTGTATCGAATAACTCCATGGGCCAACGCAGGACATTTAGGAGCAATGTTTCGTGCAACCGCGTAGCCACCATAATACAGCCAAGAGCCAGCGTCAACGACGCAACAAAGTAGGAGGCGACTAAAAAATATTCGGCACTTTTGAGTTACAATTCAATTAATGACGTCACAGATTTTTCTTAATATTTTGGCGCCGCACAGCCTATTATAAATGCTAACTAAACGCCATAAGCTCTTAACAAAACAAAAGCTGTTTATATGTACCCTTTCAACCAATAGTTTAAGAGTATCATTGAAATTTGTGCTAAACATTTTATTGAAGTCAATCTAATTTTAGTCATTACGTCATAGGAATTATAATAAAAATTAGCTGAGGAGGAAACTAAAAATATTTCAAAATAGTTTCAAATAAAAAACCCGAGAAGGAAATGAGCACATTTTAATGAATCGACTGAGATGGATGATTACCAAATCAGACCATTGCGAAAATAATAATATTATTAGTTGTTAATATAATGATTAGCAGAGATTCTTTAAGGGCCATCGTTACCATCATTGGTTGGGCCAGCATGACACGGATATTAAGTGGCAAAACGTTATGTCGATGTCTTGGGATAAGCAAGTGACAATGCGTCCCAGTGTCAAAGAGCTCCATTGGCCATCGAAAGTTGTAATGATAACGTTGCGACTGATAACGATCGATCGATTAAGAGACCAAAAATTAGAACGCACAACTAGGTATACTCGTTTATTAGTTAAGTTAAATTCTTATTTAGTGACAATCAAAAGTCAAAAGAATCTCCAGCACGGTTTTCTGTTTTCACAATTTTAATACATTAGTTTTAAAGACCACGTACTTATATCGAAATATGATTATTTTGTGTGATGGAAAGATCTCCTCCTTAATTTTTTTTGTTACAGCCGTGAGTGTTAGTAATACGTTTATGCTGACTCTAAAACTAATTGCATTTCAAATATTGATTGTGCGTTTGAATCTGAATGTTTGGGTAGGGTCATTATTAGTGTTAGTTATAGTATATATAACCTAGTTTAAAGGAGTCGAGAAATCTGTGGGCGCCAAGACTACATATGAAGACAAAGCATAAATGAGATTAAGAAAATTATAACAATTCCACCAAATAAATATATTAAATAGAACTAAGGAATATGAAAAATGTAACGAAAAATCTATAACTAAAGCGAGCGACACAAATATTTCCACAAAAAAACATTGAGCAAAATTATAAAGAGCGGGAAATTGAACCAGAATAGACTTACCTTGACCGAAACCGAAGGCACCATAGACACCCAAATACATATCTCTGCGACTGGTATCGTTGGCCACATCTTTATCATTGGCCCATTTTGTGAGCCATAGATTGGAACCAATTTGAAATGCTTGGAACACAAAGTTAAGAGCTAGCGTAGCTATGGCCAGAAAGACGCCAACACTTTTAATGTAATGCTTATAGACAGCGAAATCGACCTGTAAAATGCGAAACTCTCTTGTAAATATGCACACTAGTATTACAAAGTAGATTTTTACTTACCCCACCAGTTTGTGACTTTTCCGTTTCGATTAGTTTGCCTTCGACTTCTTGTTTTTTTTTAAGCGAGGCCGCCGAGGCTTCAGAGTCGTTCGATTCCTGGCGTTTGGTGCGACGGCGCAAACTGCCCATTAAACTATCGGCGGATGTTACGGAACTGTAAAAAAATATTATGATTTAATTACAAATGGTTATTTCGATTGACTCCGTCTAGCATATTACATGGAGTCCGAAAGGCTCTCGGATCGAGCCAGCTTAATGGCTTTCTCAACAGTACCAAGCAATTCGGGCGCATCAATGCTGTTGGACAGCTGGCGCTTTATTTGATCGAGCTCCTCCTCCTCCTCTTCTCCCTCCTGTAAATGCTGAATCAGGAAGTCGGCGAAGGCTCCCTTGTTCTTGAGGAGCTCGTTGTAGGTGCCGCTTTCGCTAATCTCGCCAAGCTTCATCACATAAATGTTGTCCACTTGCGGTAAAAATGTAATGCCATGCGTGACCAGAACTCGTGTCTTGCCAGCCAATAGGCCTTTTGGTCCGATCACCTCTTCGAAGATGTGTTTGCCTACATGCGAGTCGACTGCGCTTAGCGGATCATCCAGCAGATAGAGATCAGCGTTGCTATAGACGGCGCGCGCCAACGAAATGCGCTGCTTCTGTCCACCCGACAAATTGATGCCCTTCTCTCCGATCTCGGTGAGGTCACCCGCCGATAAAATGTCAATATCTGCTCGCAACGCGCACGCGTCGATCACTCGATTATAGCGTTTGCGATCGTATTCCTGCCCAAACAATATATTGTCGCGCAGCGTTGCGTTTTGGATCCAAGCCTGTTGCGGCACATAAGCCAGTTTGCCCACTGTGTTGACAGTGCCCGATATTTTCTCCATTTCGCCCAAGAAGGCTTGTATCACGGAGGACTTACCGGACCCAACGGTGCCCACAATAGCAACCAAATTGTTCTTTCGTACCTCAATATTGATGTTTTTTAGAGTTACATCATCATCACCCCAGGAAAATTGACCGTTTTCAATGGTCATGGGATGTGCTGTTTGATAAATAAAATATTACAAAATCATGCACCATATTCATAAAAAAATAAACAAATATAAACTATAAATATACTATAAACTTACGTTTTGAAGCATCGTGCTTCACGTTGTTCGGGTCGAGCTCTTCGCTATTCAAAAACTTATTTATGCGATTTACAGAGACTTGCGTCTTTTCATTGTCGTTTGGAAAGATAAATAATAGATTAGAACATTTATATTTTATTTGAGGATTCCCTTAAAACTCGTAGACAATGCGTTACGGGAAAAGAAAATTAGAATGGGGATGGGTTGTGCACAAAAAATTATAAGTATGTATAACTACTACAAATTTTAGCAAATATCAAGTCTTCCAAATACAATGAGTTTTGAAATTTAAGTTCTCTCAAGATTGGGATCGCCATATTTTAAAATATGTATGTTTAATGCAAATAGAATGACAACAATCAATAAGAATGGATAGTGATGGCAGAAGCTTTAAAAAGAATTTAAGTGTCGCGCGCGATCGATTCTTGCATATTCTGTATCTGCGGCATCCCCACAGCCTTATAGCTACAAAAGAAAGAACGAGTTGAAAAGCGGCTTTAAAATACCCTCCACCCATGAGTAGAATCTATATATGTATATAAAATAGTTTTTCCTGGCTGATTGGTGATCAACGCACAGAGTGGAAAACTAGCTTCAAAGTTTGTTTGGCCTGGCATAGCTCAACGATCTAATAGGAATCCCACAATGTGAGTTCGTTCTTAAATAAATGGCTCGGTTCGAGTCACGGCGCTACCATAGCATAAAGAAGCATAAAATTTAATAAGATACTTGCAGTTTTAAAATCCTGTAAGAATGGCTTCATACTATATATAAAAAATATTTAACTGTTGTGTTATGGTCAAATTTGCTGACCGATTCCGAAGTATAATAATTAAAAAAATACAATCTACAAATGTATGTACATATGTATAGTTTTGCTGATCTGAATTTTAGTATATTAGGTTTGTGCAAAATGTAACATGCAGAAGGAGATGTTGCAGACCCCACAAAGTATATACATATATTCTTCATCAATCTGAAGACTTAGATGCACTAAATGGTGTCTCATATGGCTTATACTCTTACGTTTACGTAGCGTGAGACACATTTTTTAGAAACCCTTAAAACAGAGTACAAGGTATATATAAATATATATATATATATATATATATATATATAATCACATGTAGATAAGGAATTTGAACGTGACTTTTATCGAAGTTGTTCATGGGAATAACTAGGAAAAACGGCACGGTGGAATTCACATTAAAAATTGCAGATAACTTACTTGCACCAGGTTGGTGATGAGCATGGGTAACATTGTTAATGGGAAACGCAGTATATTGAATAGAGATAATGAGACAAAGGTTTTAGTGGCGTCGAGCACGTTATTTTCGTCGATTAAGACGTATGTGGCAAATGTAACCAATGACACCTAGAAAATATATAATCAAAAATCGTAAAGTTTGTCGATAACAACAATAAAAATACTTCAAGCCATCCATTAATAGCGGAAATGTGCTGGTTAATGAGGCTGCAGACCAAAGAGAAATGACCAAAGAAGTCTGAATGAGGGTCTGTATCAATTGCTGGAATACGTAATCCGCTCGACCGCTTTACCTCGGCTATGTCAACAGCAAGCATGGGCAAGGTGGCCAGAGGCAGCTTGAGGGTATCAAATAATGTAATGCTGACAAATATTTTTTCAGCGGTGAGGATATTTTCGTCGCTGCTCAGCACGTATGTGGCAAACGTAACCACTGACACCTTTTTTGGCAAGACAATACAATACACAATATGTTATTCCAGATTGCTTCAGGTCAGATGGTTTATGTAGTTCTCCTAGTTCTGTGTACGGCTGCTGTAAAGAGAGTGGAACATAGCGCTGGCTGCGCCGGCATGCTGACTATTCTTACCAAAAAGGGCGCACAGGACCAAAGGAACGATGTGCTTGCATTTAGATAGGCTGTAGATTTGAGCGTTGCGATCTCTTTTTCACGAATATCCAACACTTGCTTTTCAAAACTAGGCTCCCACGCATAAAGTTTAAGGACCTGCAAAGACACACAGATTAACAAACTAAGTAGAGGCACAATTTAAAATAAACCACCTTAATGCCGCTGAGAACCTCGTTCATTAGCTTGACGCGCTCGTCCTTGTACTTCATTTGACGTATTTGATATGTCTTGATCCGATTGGCTATAAAGCCATTAACTGGTATTAAAATTATCATAACTGCGAGGCCGGCCAGAACAGAAGGGCCCAACTGTTGCCACAGGAAGAAGAGGGCTAGCGAGATTTGTAGCGGTGCCGACCACAACATATTTAGGTAGGTTGTCAAATCCATGAACCGCTGCGCATCCACTGCCATCAAATTGACAATTTCGCCCACAGTAGACTCCTTTCTGGCGGAGTTTGAGATGCGCAATGCTTTTCGATAAATGGCACTGACAAGTGCTGTACGAATGCGGAGGCCAACAATGAACATGCGATGGAAGTACTGAGCCAAAATGAAAGTCTGCGTGGCAGCCAAGACAAACAGCATCACCGAATACATAATTCCCTTCCACTCCGGCTGAGGGTCTTTTTCGTAATCCTCAACGAATCCGATAATTAGACTTAGCACTTGTGGCTGAGCGAATGTTAGTACATCAGTTATCAGTTTCATAACTGAACCGAATAGAAACACGCCGCCAAATGACTTGTAGATTGCAGGCATAATAGAAGCCATGCCCTTCTTTCGGCCATTTCGCTCGCCATGTGGGTTGTCGAAAGAAACCTTTCCATTGATAAACTTGGCATTTGGCTCCGAAGGGGATGGCTTCTTGTAGTTTTTACGCACATTCTTGTTCCAGTGATAAGCGAATGTCGGCATCACCTCCTTGCAACTATCCTGTGGCCGCAAATCCCAGAGATCTTCTTGCTCGAGTGGTTTGCGGTAACCCTTCAACGACATTGCATCGAACCAATGATATGTGATGCGAGACAAGAAGCTGGCCGATAATTCAGGTATTTCATTCTGCAAAAGTGACAAAAAATTGTGAAAACAGCTATAGGTGAGGAATATATAAAGGTATCACATACCTGTCCACGTTGATATTTCGTTTGCCTTGGCAGGCTGTCCGCATAGCAATTCAGCAACAACATGACGCATGAAAACGCAAAGAAAATAAAGAAGCTGATGTACTGATAGCCCTCCCAGTCCTCTTGGTCAGTCCAGTCTAGTTTTTGACCGCGTTCTTTCTCCGCACGTACTTCTGTTCGGCAGCGAGGTATCGACAAAACAGTTAAGAAAAACCAAAACAAAAACTGACAGCCTGATGTTTGGACGCCATATTTTCGATTCAGCGTTATAAATAAAAAGGTCAGCAACTGAAACAAACTTGTCAATAAATACATAGTTTCTTATGCAGTTTAAATTTTTATACATACAAAAGAGGCGAACTTTATAATAGGACTCCAAATATCAACAGCGTGTATTGAAATATCGTTCTTTTTCACTAAGGCCACAATTAAGTCCAAGGCCGTGATTACAAGCAGTCCAATATTTATCAGCAGTTTGCTTATATTTAGTTTTGTCCACGGGATATTCTGGTCGAAGCTTGCCTTGAGATAATAAACGTCGAAGAGGACGAATAGCCATAAGAATGCACACGGTGCCCAGACAAGAACAGTTTTCTCAAAACATGGTGTAAAATCGGGATCAGTTGTCCACCACGTCTTGTCGGCATCCTAAATAATTTAATTTAGTAAATGATATTTCCTATTTTGTATTTAGATGGTACGAATAGCTTACCCAAAAATCCGAGCCGCAGAATTGATACATGGGAGAAGTAGTATTCTCCATGATCACAGTTTGTTGTTAGATAATTAATTAAATATTCCCCTCCCAAAACACGTGCAGTAAGTGTCCAAATAATTGGGTAAACTGAAATAAATAAGGATCACCGTACAGTATTAATGCATAACATCTGACAGCAACTGCTGTTCGCCAGCACCGGTAAGCATATATTCATGTATGTAGTTTCCAACACTGGAAATTAAACCAAAGCATTAATCCATTTTTAGGTAATTTTTAGTAAAAACGTATAAACCAAAAAAACTTGCTTTCCGTTCTTAACTAATTGAAGTGCTCTTTGAATTTGCTAGTAGTAATATTAACTTACAAAATTCATAAAAATGTCTAAGCACTCAAATTTTCTTGATGGAAATGATAGGTTTAAAGAACAGAACCTAAGATTTGTTCGTGTAAGTATAAAGTAGTGCAGCGCATCGTGAACTATATGTATGTACATGTGAAATTTACATGTGCATACATACATATGTATGTATAAGATCTTTATAATAAAATGGGGAAATCGTCCTTTCAGAATGATCTTCAAGACAACATAAATCAGTTCTTCGGAAGGTCGGGAACATCCGCAAATATTCCACCACGCGACTCCATGTTAGTACAACCTAAACCCGGTAAGTGCGGAGCCCCCATACACAAACATATGCATGTTTGCATGTGTGCACATATGTATGTATGTATGCATATGTAGTATGTATTGCGATAGCGTATAACTTGTTTTGATAAACTTTATGAAAAGACATACATATGTATATGCATATGTACGTACTTATATTCGAGCTAATACAGCTACAAATTCTTTGCTATTGACATACATACATACATACATACATATGTATGTAACTGACTGGATTTGCTTCTAATGACTGCAAACTGCAAAGATATAAACTGATAGAATAAATTGAGCTTTTATCGAAAATATCTATAAAATTGCGGGCCCAAGACGTAGTTTTAAGTATTAATTATATTTTATCTTTTACTATAAAATTGTTAAAGCTAATATCAAATTGGGGTCTGAGATCCAATATAAAGAGGTTTTATTTGGCATTATAGTAATACTCGTATATATGTATGTATAACATTTATAAATTAGTATACAAAAATGTATATGTTTACGAACATGACATTTCATTTAAAAAACTTGTTTTACCGGCAACGCAAATGTTTGTCGCACCTGAACTTGGCTCAAAGGCAATAGGAATTACTTAACTAAATATTAAAAACGAGTTACTAGTCACGGCCATTAGTTTTAAATACATATATGTATGTATGTATTCAGAGTTTGTTCTTGCAATCTAACAACAATTTTATGTTGTTTTTGTAAATACATGTGGGAAAACTTGTTTGTTATTCAACATATAATAAATTCGAGTGATTAAGAATAGCCGAAGACTTGTTAAAATCATAGAATAACTAAACTACTATGTATTGGTAATTACAGAAAACTTGTTCCACCAACTTTTCGATTATGTAATTTTTGCATTGGAGCTGATTTAATACTGTAACTTTTAAATATAAACAACACGCATCCACCTTACTGAGCGACACAAGTTTTAAAAAAACTTTCATTTTAAATGGCGAGAGAAATTTTGTTTCTCTTTTGAAATTTGCAACTCAGCGTGATGCTCAGATTTTGTTTGGTTGTATTATAAGAGAAAACAATGTAATAAAAAACCAAAGCAGCTATCAACAACAGCTGATTAACATGCTTCATCAGCGACACACAATGTTCGCCAAGTTAGTTTGTTTAATGCACATTACTTATTTGAAAATTGAATTACGTGAAATACAAGTTTTATTTTCATTTAATTCACAAAATAAGATTCAAATATGAAATATTTTTCATGCAGATTGTTGAGAAATGCAATTAAGTATATATAATTACAAATTTCTTGACAAAGGTTAAGAGATTCGAAACCAACCGTAAGGCATTTCTGTGGCAGCAAGAATTAGTTATCGGTTGAAATTTGGTTGGAAGAAATTTTTGTAACACCCCTGAATATGTTGCATTGTGCCCCAAACATACTTGTAAATACATATGAATATGTATGTAGGTGTATTTGATATTTTGGCAAGTTTACTTGGCCAACCTGATGCCGCGCAACCCTGCTCTAGAAACATATACATACGTCGTATGAATATACACTGATAAGGTTCATTAGCCTTTTCTTTCAATTCACTAATATTTACATATGTATGTACTTGTATGTGTATTTTTGTTCATGCCGGCTTATTGCTGTTCGCGAACTTGTGTTGATGTTATAAATATTTATGCCATGTGGAATGTTTTCCTTGTTTTTGTACAATTTTTCAATTGCAACTCGCTTAAATTGTGATGCCTATCAGGCAATAAATCAATCACTGGTGGTTGTTCTAATAACTGTTACAAATATTTCAAATATGTTGGCATTTTAAAAGTAGACTGGACCAAAATTCTGTTCTATTGAATATGTACCAATTATTTTCGTTATATGGTGAAATACGTCACACATATTATCTTAGTTTGTGCTGAGTAGTTATTAATATTGTAATACATGAACGTGTGCTTGTGATCCCATTGCTTATCACCAACGACTCGTCTAGAAGAGTATGAAAATGTACATACTTGTATGTATGTACATACATACATATTTGTGTGTATATAGTGGTTTAATTTTTGAATTGCACTTAAATTGCTTGAGCTTATCTCTTCCATTTTTTTTTATTTTATAACTCTGCTCCTGCATCGTTTCACGTGTAGTGTACTTATCACTTGAATATACCACATTAAAAGGCTTTCTCTCTTTTTTTATTAGTTTATACTAGTTTATTTCAAAGCATTGAGGCATTCTTTTTCTCTGTAGGCACCGAATATTTAACATAATGTTTGTTTTTTTTGTACACAAATACATACATACACAAAAACATATCAATCCGCAAACATGTATGTACGCGTATGTCCCTTGTACAGATTTTAATTGGCTTTTAGTGACAAGAAATAGTCGACGTTAAGTTTACTATGCCCACCATTTTAAAATATTGAAAACACGTTTTTTCTTTAGTGACGTCATCGTTCAGCTTATAAATTATGGCTGGTTGTAACATAAACTTCAATTGCCCAAGTCAGTGTGAAAAAGAAAAATCGCATTTGCTTGATAAACTTCTGCAATCATCTAAATCACTTCAAAAATTATAACAATTAAGAAACATTTCGGCATGACAATACAAAAAGACTGATAAATAAATTATTGGAAATTATTTTCGCGTACATCAGAAATTATTTTATTTCTGCATAAAACTTGATTTTCACGGCGATATGTTCGTACTGCCCATTTACAAACAACTAGAAAAAACAAGTCACAAGGGCTCATAACAACGACAATTAGAAAAATCGGTTGAACATAATTACCTTAGCTATTAAAAGAAACGTTAAAGGCACTCAGCGATTCACAACGCGACCGACGCGTGTCGAACACAAAAAGCAACTGGGGATCGGTCACTCAGCACGTCGCTATTATTTGATTTGAAGAGATAGCATGGGATTCCCTCTCAACCGCCAACGAAAGCAAACAAACGGCTACGGACTCGTATTGAATTTTATTTGAAACAAAAAACTGTAGTGTTTTTAAAGCCGGTACAACAACAACCATAAAACATTTCGGTTCTCTAAGCTCTCTATCTGCGTTTATATGTGTGCGTACAAACATACAAACATTTATAGTCATGCACATGTACGTGCAATTAACTTTTGGAATGAAATGATCAATGAAAATAGAAGTTCATTGCAAGGAAAATATTTTAATATAATTTGCTTTATTACTGATCCATTTTACTTAGGAATTTTTATATTCTGTATACACTATATAGTCATTTCCCATATGTTTACATATGTATGTATGTTCATATTTACATTACATACAAAAAAACAATTAGTCAAGTGTATTCAATTGCAAAGAGCGAACCAACAAACTTGCTTGGTCATTGTTAAGATATCGCTTAACACAGAGAGCGCGCGATAAGAGAGAAGATACATAAACATGTATGTAGTTGTGCTGAATAATTATATAACTCCCGTAATTCTTGGAATTTTGAACTAAAATTTGGTAGTCACATTAGGTAAGTGATTATATATCCGTATACCAAGTTTCATTATGATAGAATGATCGGAACATATGTAGTACACAAACACGCATACACACGATTCTGATGTAAATGTATGTATGCATGCATGGAATATTTTATATTTAATTTAGTTAATTAATTAAATTAATTTAGTTAATTAATTAAATTAATTTAGTTAATTAATTAAATTAAATTAATTAATTAATTTAATTACTTTTTTGTGGGGTGGTACAGGGTATTTAAGAGTTGAGCCTGCTCGACTTTAGCATTCCTTTCTTGTTTTAATTTTCCCATTTTGTGGAAAGTACAGGATGTTTTACTGTCGGTCTTGCTGGACTGTAGCGTTCTCTCTTGTTTTTTTTTTTTAATTTTCCTATTTTTTGGAAAGTACAGGATATTTTACTGTCGGTCTTGCTCGACTGTAGCGTTCACTCTTGCTTTATCTTTATTTTATAATTTTTGTTGTTATATGTTTATATATTGCCTACTAATATATATGTATGATAAGTATTATAATTTGGGTTAGGTCCATTTAGATGTACTACTTGTATTGCAAGTGTGCTTCAGACTTATTTCTAAAGTGTGTTTCGCTGCTGATTGTTTGAAGAGTAGTATTTGTTCTCTTTGATGTGGTCAAAGTTATTCTTACGTAACTTACACATAAAAACAGATAATAAACTATTTTTGGGCGTTACGACCGGTTTTATACTCTATACCCGAAGAGTAAAAAAATAGAGTGTTAGAGTCGAGGAAGCCCGTCAGCCCTGTATCCAAACAAACTTCCACCGCTATGCCCGAACTATGTATTTCGGGTGTAAAGAGTAAAATTCCAATTTTTTAAATCCAAAATCTTCAACTAGAAACATTGTCAGCTGCCTCACATAAACAAAGGCATGTGTTAAAAATCATAACTTGATATTAGCGTTGACGTATGAGCGCGCAGATTATTTAAAGAATAGAGCGATGTGTAATTGATTGCGACATTTTTATTTCTACTGCGCTTGCACGTCAACTTTCATTTAAAGAAAAGAGATTGGTCTTTCGGATTGGTGCAAAAGCAAAAGTACAAAAACTGCGAATCAATGAATGAAGCGTTTTAATAGAAAGCATCCAATCCTATTCAGGTGTGTTTCCGATTTCGATTAAATTAGGCGATATAACGATTTGATGGGGCTTCTTATTAAGTTTTGGAAAGCATATTAAAGTATACCCAAAGGCAGGGTAAAAGGGAATACTAGTTTAGTGCAAATATATGTATCACACAGAAGGAGGAAGTCAATGTAGCCATGTCTGTCCGTATTAACGTTAGGAAAGTAAAATAGGTAGAAAACCCAAATTTTGTTATGCAATGTTCCTATGCTCCGAATTTGTTTTTTTTTTTTTTTTTTTTTTTTTTTTTTTTTTTTTTGAAGTAAGTACAGAGTATTTAAGAGTTAGTCCCGCCTTAATTTAGGGCTCCATTCTTTTTGACTACTATATTTCCAAATGGGCTTGTGTGAGATGCATGTATTTGCTGCTTTTAATTGAAGTGTTTGTATTTCTGCATTTTATTTCATGTGACGTCTTCAATATACGACTAAATAGCCATTGCGGCAGACATTGCTGAAACACCCCACTTCAGAAGTTTAAAACTGGACGAATGTCGAAACTTTCTGCGTCATTTAGGCGTCAATCGTCGTACAGCCCATTCTTTGGCTGTACGTACTCTCAAATGTCCCGACTTTAATCTGCGACAGTTTCAACAATCTAGATTCCACAGGAGCGTTCAAATGGGCGACATCCAGCAAGCAATGGTGGATTCTGAAATAGTGCGTGATATAGAGGTGTTTTGCGAGCAGCGTTTGAATGAAAAAGAGAAACGTAACTCGTTGTCGCCCGTGCATATCGCCACGTTGCGAGAAGACAGAGAGCAGAAGCCAACGACAAACACAGGCTTTCACAGCGCCTATGGAATTGGAACACGCCGTCCCTACCAACGGAATAAAGCTGATATTATGCACGGCAAAGACTACAAATTAAATTTTTTTAATCGTGATTACCGAATAAATTATAATCTTGAGGATTATCGCCAAGATCGAACTGACCGGAATTGTGAAATGGCGATCTTGAACAATAATCGCAGAGGTACACGGCAAAGATCGAATAGTTCCAGCACAACCTCCAACTATTTCCAGTCACGTAACAACAGTTGGAATTCTCTTAATAATGGAAATCAACCCAATAATATTTTGGAGGATTATCGCCCAGATCGAAGAGACCAAAGTAGTGGAAACTCAAACGACGATCGAATTCGTACACCAAAGAGATCGAATAGTCCTTACTATTTCCAGACAGGAAACATTTCCCCCAATAGTTGGAGCTTCCTTAGTCATAGAAACCAATTCAAAAACGATCTAGAGGATTATGATAGAAATAAAACTGAACTGAATTATGGCAACTTGAACAGCAATCGGAATCGTAAACGCCAAAGATCAAGTAATGATTACCAAAATCCCATAAACATAAATAATTATGATAATTTTAATGCTAATCGCGGCTCTATTTTAATGCGAAAGGAAAACCGATCAAGATCGAGCATTAATAAGACTTTCCAAAGAAATACTGATATGAATACATTTCAAGTCAACAATAATGAATTTAAAGACCACAAATTGCGACGCCATAACACTTTGGTGTACGATCCACCGCCAAGATCTCGTAATGCAATAATGTATCCAAACGAGCCGCACCGGGCCAATAATGGTGGCGAACAGTCCCATGCTCATGGCAGTAAAACATCTGGTAATTATCTTTGTTCTTTGTTTTAAAATCATTACCTATCATTTTAGTAAATTTATTGGCAAGTTCAAGTTAGACATGAGATTACATAAAATGAATGCCATAATAGAATTTATTGCATAAAATACTAATTCGGCATATTTTCATAGCCTATCCAATGAATCGGTAGAAGTGCATCCCGATATTCGTTATCTTAAATGAAAATTTTCCTCTGCAAAGTGGTTACAGTACCAGAACAATTATATAAACTGTTAAGGATTACTTAAACATTACTTACTTTTCACAACTTTAATATCGATATAAAGTTGCGCGCTTTTAGCAGATGATAAAAATCACAATAGAGTTTTGTTTTACAGGTAGAATAGATAGCCCACAATCGCAGCCCACATATATTGAGGAATATTTTCAAATTGGAGGATTTAAGCTACCTTATATCCATAGAGGGACGCTCCCATTATCGACATCAAAAGATAATTCCTATGCAGTCAGGTTTTTTGCGCAAATTCCCGATTATACAACCAACCGATTCTCCGATAAAGAATGTAGTGACGATGGTGATCCGGCGATAAATTCTGAAGACGATTCAAGTATCGACAGTGCAGAGGACGACCGTAAACCCATAAAAAACACAAAGAAAGGGCTTCCGACGTTAAACAATAAGAAAATGCGCAAAGAGTGGATTAAAGTATACCGCGAAAAGAACTATAAATGCTGGAAATCATGGTGGATGGATTACAAATGGTGCGGAGATGCCATCAACCAGGAGCTTGGCCAATTCAAAAGTGTAAACCTGAAGCTCCGTTTTCTACAGATTCCATATAATCGAAATAAAGGTAACTCTGAAGTGATTGATCGGGTCATGAAATCTGGACACTTTGCATTGGAAAAAAATTTATCAAACTTTTACCGAAACATGAAAGCCATTTTTAATATGATGAACGAAACTTTTCTGGAAAACTTGACTCCCCAACAAACGGAGCAAATACAGAATATGATACGAGGTGTACCAAATCACATATGGCTATATAAAATGCGCAGTATGCTTTTCGTTTGGTGTAAATACCGGGAATACTCAAGACTACCGAACTCTGGAAGTAAACTTCGGAAAATAAACGCAAAATGGAAAAAGCCAGTATTCCATTGGCTTGCAAAGCAGGCCTTTGAAGAGATAAAAGTGAGTCTCTATTGAGGGCATTTATGAAGTTTTTGAAGAAATATTAATATTTTTTTTACAGAAAATTAGCGAAATAGCTTGGCCCGAGCACCATCAAATATTTCCAGAATTAAAATAAATCGCCAACGCACAACTAACAAGTAAAAAAGCTAAAGTCGGGTGTCCCGACTACTCTGAAATACTCTGTACATATGTTTACAATAATTATAGAAAAAAAAAAAAATTGGATCGATTTTACCTCTCTCGGTATTTGAACTCACGTAAAGGGTGTATAATTGCACATTTACATAGCAATTGCGTCTGTGTGAGTGTATGTATGCCTATGCGCATCAATTCGTGTCTGTGTAAGCATTTTCGCAGTCAACCAAACAGCAACATCAACAACAGCCGCGGGCAGCGCTTGAGCAGCGCTGCAGCAGCAAATATATTTATGGCTATAACTTCTTGGTAAATCGGTCTATCATAGTGAAACTTGGCATACGGACACATAATTACTAACTGGGGGTATTTGCAAAATTTTAGTTCGAAATTCCAAGAATTACGGGAATATACATTTTCTGCGTATTCACACAAGGCATCTTGGACTAAAATTTGGTGTGCCTAGGTCTTATGGTCTCCGAGATATAGGCGATTATACGTATGGAAAATCGGGAAAACCCCCATAGGGGGGAAGTGGGGGGGAAAATCAAAAAAATAAAACAAACTCGTATAGAATACACACATAACGCATCTTTGTGGAAAATTTGGTGTCTCTAGCTTTTATAGTCTCTGAGATCCGGGTGTTCATACGGACGGACAGACAGACAGACAGGGCTAGATCGACTCGTCTTGTCACGCTGATCAATAATATATATACTTTGTGGGGTCTGCCACGCCTCCTTCTGCCTGTTACATTTTTCAGCTCCCGCAAACCTAATATACTCTTGTACATTTCATGTACAGAGTATAAAAACCAGTAATTATTATTTACTTATACATACTTACTATACATGTATAGAAAACAGTTTGTCTTGACTGACTTATTGGCGATCAATGCACAGTCAAAACGATGGGAGCTGGGAAAACAGGCTTCTACGTTTGAATGACAAATATGAATTTTCCCCCGATTATCTTCAAACTTAGTTTGTGCACTCTCTGAAAAGTACAAAATATACTTTGTACTTCAGTTTTTTGGAACTGAAACATAGTAAGCATCAAAAATGGTTTTGGATTTTCAAAAACTCTGCAGTTTCTATTCGATGGACTTACAGTTTGCTTTGTATGTTGATGATTTGTAGAAATGAATGTCAGTCAGTCGAGAGAGAGGAATATAAAATAAAAGTCAGTTGAATCGTATCGTTCTCTTAAGATAGCAGTACTGAAGAAAACAATGGGACTAAGTGGGAAGATCTTAAACTTGGTATTCAACAATTATCAAAATATAGAAATAGGTTTTTCACTTCACACATGCAGCAACAATAAACAACAAACTCGACCTGCCTAGGGCTCAAGGGAACCTGGATACCAAGTTTGGTCATTCTGGCTCTTGTACCTTCTGAGTTCCTTGCGCTCATACAGACGGGCAGACGGATATAGCTATATCGACTCGCTTGTCACCGTGATCAAGAATTTATATACTTTGTGAGGTCTGCCATGCCTTCTGCCTGTCACACAAAACTACTATAGCCTTTTACCCTTTGGGTACAGGCTATAAAAACAAGAGAGAACACTATAGTCGAGCAAGCCCGACTGAAATAGCCTGTACTCCCTCCCACAACAAGAATACAATTTTTTTTAATTTTAAAATTAATTTTTACAAATTTAATTATTTTATTAAATTTAAAATAAAATACATATATTCAATACATACATTCATAAGTGGAGATATATGCTTATGTTTCAACAGCATACATTTACATCATCGTTTCTCTGCGTGTATATAAGTCGAATCAGCAGCAACAACAACTGCTGGCAGAGATTCGGCAGAGAGTATATTTTTTATGGCTCTAAATTTCTTCATAACAAACCTATCGTAAACTTGGCATTTGGACTCAGAAATACTAACTGAATGCCAAATTTGAGTACAAAATGCCAAAAATTACGGGAGTTATGGAAAAAACACGAATTGCGGGGAAGTGGGGGTGTGCATCAGAAAAAAAAACACAAACTCATTTTTTCGCGGACTTAGGGCAATCTGAATCTGGTTATTCTAGCTCTTATACTTTCTGTGGTCGTTGCATTCATACATACGGACATGGTTATATCGACTCGGCTTGTCACCCTGATCAAGAATATATACTTTGTGGGGTCTGCCACGCCTACTTCTGTGTATTACATACATTCGCACAAATCTAGTATAGCCTTTTACCCTTGGGGTATAGGGTATAAAAAAACTGAACGGATCAGTTCTTTTAATCGGACTACTATACTGGTATACACATGTAAACAAGTTCATATAAATAAAATGTCCACTTTCTGCTAATGAATCGATTTAAAATCAAAATTTGTTTATCCATTAATTTCCTGCTCAGCCATGCTGGGCCGTGTATAATATAAGTACGTTCGTGTTTCTTAAAGCCAATAATATTTTTTGCAATATATGCAATAGCCTTTAGTATGCACCAAAGTAAGTTTGCTATTTGGTAGTCCCTATAGAAACTGGCAATGAGCACAATGTAAAAAGAGATATAGTACATAGTTAATTATAAAATTTATAATGGTAAGCAAAATATACGTAGACCAGAACAGGCGGGCAAAACCTGCTAGTATTATAATAAAATTATAAATTTGATGTTTGAATTATTGAAGCTTAATTTCGAAATTTTTAATAGTAACATAATTTATTTATTATAATTTTTTTATTTTTCTGCAATAGGTTTCTGTATTAAGAGCTTCAAATTGAATACCAATGAAAAGTTCTTTATAAACGTTTGCCAGGCCTCGGAGGTACCAGCTCCGAAAGATGTGACCGAAGAGGAGCTTATTGCTATTTTGGAATCATCCGAAGCGAGCTCTTTTCGGGTACCTATGAGCATGTCGGTGCCGCGAAATACCAATGACCGCTCCAATAATACCGTGGAAGTCTGCGATATTGCCATCAATCCGCAATTTCTGCTCAAAATAAAAAAGTCGCAACTTTTCAGCAATTTCTTTTTGCAAATCGTTGCCGAGGCCCTCAGCGAGAAATACAACATACAAATATCGATGGATAAAACTATAATACTCAATAACCGGAAGTTTATTGGCACTCTCGTTTCCCATCGCGTACGAAACGATGACATAAACACGGCAAAAGTAATAGGAGAGAAAACAGTAAAGCAACTACATGGAGAACAAGAAATAATGTTGGTACAGGAAATTAATGAGAATGAGCTACAGGCACTGACCAAAAAATCCACGAATGAAACTAATAAAATAAAAATAAACCAACGTAACGCTGGATCCAACGAAGTTGAATACAAAATTCGAGCTAGGGTTAAAGGCGATGTCGTAGACGAAATACATGCAGAGCTATATTTACCCAATTGCGTAAGTTTCGCAGAAAATCGAGATTGAAACATGTTTATAGTCCTTTTCGTTCATATTTACATAGATATCGTCACAAGAACTGAGTTTAGACATTGGAGAGGATCGTGTCTTGGTCGAGTCATCAAAACACGGCTATATATTCGATAAATTTTTCAGCTACCGCTTGCATCAAGAACGTGCTCAGGCGCTATTCGATAAAACAAGCAAAGTATGTTTTTGGGGAAGAAAACGGTTCAAAGATATTTTTTAAATGCAATTAATATTTTTTTCAGATGCTTCAAATACGCATTCCTGTCATGGCTTAAAATTAACCGATTTAGTTTATTTCGAATTCCTGCCATGGCTTAAAATTAACCGATTTAGTTTATTTCAAATATTGTTAAAACAATGAATTAAAAAAAATAAAATCAGATCCTATCCCAACAAATTCAAAGTATATTTCAATGCCACATTATAAGCAACTGAAAAAACTAATGTCAGGTTCCCTGACTTTAAAATGCCGAAGGTATCGTGTACAATAATTATAGAAATTAAGAGATTGAAAAAAATAAGCAAACAAGTGTAATAATAAGAAAAACGGCTTGACCGGTAAATTACCTTAAGTGTATTTATATCGGAACTATGTTTATGTTGTCTACATATGTATGTGTGTGTGACCATGTGTGCAGTACAGAATTGAACCAAAGCAGCAAAAACAGCAACCAGCTGTTAGCTAGTTATGGCCATAACTTCCTTTTGAGTTAAAACTTCCAAGAATTACGTAAGCTATAGAAAATCACTATTAACGCGACAGTTGGAGAAAGGAAGAACAATTTTAAATACACTTGTTCTGCCTACATACATATGTATAAGAGCATTTGTGTACAAAATTTGGTGTCTATACCTTGTTTCTGAGATCCAGGTGATGCGGACAAACATACAGGGGTGGATCGACTCGTCTTATCATGCTGATCAAGAATATATAGTTTGTGGGGTCTGCCACGCCTCCTTCTGCTTGTTACATTTTTTACTTCCCGCAAACCCCATATGCTCTTGTACCTTTCAGTAAAGAGTATACAAAATTATAGAGTCGACATCTTTTTAAAAATGCAACTGTGTCACAACATTTTATGTTGACTATTCACTGTGAATGGTGAAATAATTAAATCAAAAGATTTTACATATTAAGCAAATAAGGCTGTTTTTCAAGGTTATCCTATTAATGACTATAGATCATGAGTTTTGTGTGTATCAGATTAAAAGCAAACTTATTAAAACTGTCCCTTTGGAACCCAGTTCACAAAACCTTATCTAAAACTGTGTTGTCATTGACAGCTGTCAAAAATTACTCGGCACCGGCCGCCATTGAATCGACAATTATAAGTCGAACAACTCGCACGTCAACCTACTTAAAAAATTCTTCGTGGACTGCACCATTGCTAAAATATTCATCGTCCTCTATTGGTGGTAACATGGAGGAACACTGTGTTGTGCCTGACGTGATTCCAAAAGCGCCAAAGAACAGCGCGTGTGTCGAATATTCGTGCCAAATTTCTGTAAAGCCTGGTGTTGTTTTGACCCCCACGCAGGTGAAGGATCAGCCAGTTGTAAAATGGGGAGCAGACCCCGAAACCCTTTACACACTGTGCATGACTGATCCAGACGCACCCAGCCGTCAGGACCCTAAATTTCGGGAATGGCATCATTGGCTTGTTGTTAATATTCCCGGTGGAGACATCGCCAAAGGTGAGGTGTTGTCCGCTTACATTGGCTCAGGCCCACCGCCAGGCACTGGACTGCATCGTTACGTCTTCTTGGTGTATGAGCAGAAGGACAAAATCAAGTTCGACGAGAAACGTTTGCCCAACAACAGCGGGGATGGTCGCGGCGGCTTTAAGATTGCCGAATTCGCCAAGAAGTATAATCTAGGCGACCCAGTAGCTGGCAACTTCTACCAGGCCGAGTATGACGACTACGTGCCGATATTATACAAACAATTGGGTGCCTAAAACCTCATTTGTTTTTCAATAATATTGGACTTCACATTGGCTGATTATATAACTGCTCAGCAAGCTCCATTTTGGGAAACATATCTTTTAATATCAAAAGTCGGAAGACAAATTTGCATATTCACGTTAACTAGTATAGCCTATAACATACCCTATGCTTTTATGAAATAAAATATGAGCAAAATACAGCTCAAGATTTTTTGTACAGATTTTTTATTAGCAAAGTATTTAATGTACCCACAATTTGAGAGTACCGAAGTTTTCTTAAATATAAATACTCACAAACGTTCAGTCAGGACAAATACGATTATATGCATATACATACATAATTGTCTTAAAACCGCAGATTGAATGAATCTGTATGACATTAAAATTCATTACAATTCAATTCAATTGTTAACTTTATCTAATAGGCAACAAAACAAGGCAAGTGACAGATTGGGATTCAAGCTTCGTTCTATGGTTATAACTAAACTTGAAACCGTTGCTTATGTCATACCTTGCGGAACATTTCGCTAGATCCATATGAGTTTCTGTGCTTCTTGGAATTGCTGCTGACCAGCACCTCGTCATCGAACTGTGAAAGACGCTGCATTTTTGGACGCATTAGGCCTCGTATATCGTTCATATTGAATTCTAGGTCTTTAAAAGCATTGAGCATAAAGACTGCCGTGATCACTATAAGGAATCCGCATACATCCCCGAGTATATCCTCGAATCGCATGTGAGTGAACTCCTTAAAGAGTATGGCCGATGCAGTTATTACCAATGTGGTGAACATTACATAGTACACAGGAGTAACAATTCCTGTATTAAATATGTCGAGTGCTTTGTTCAAATAGTTCATTTGAATGGCAATAAACGTAATGGTGACAACAATTAAAAACCACGGCATCCAATTACCAAACACTTGTGCTCCGTTAGCGATCGCATTGCGAATAGCCAAGCCCAGCGCCTTACAAGACATTACTGTAAGGGAGCCGATGCCAGAACACAAATATATATACACAGTAACATTTCTGTGTCCATATTTAGGCGCCAAAAAGCAGGCAACAAACGCGCTTGACCCCAATATGCAAATAACGTATAATATAAATACTGGCTCCTGAATCATACCAAAAAGTACTTCTAAGTCTTCAATCTCCTTCTCCTTGGGAGAATGTATAACAATAATGGTAGATCCAAGAATGCAGAGAAAGCAGCCAATTTTACCCAATAGGTTTAGTTTTTCATTAAGAAATTTCGACGCCATGACAGCAGAAATAATCACTGATAGTGCACCCAGCGGCGTAACCAATGAGGCCGGGGCAAAAGCGTACGCAGTGAAATTAGCCGCCTCGCCTAGGCCCACTGCAAAGCATAAGGGCAATTGTATATTAAGAAAAAATACATATTGCAATGATAAATGCATACTCACTAGTCAAGAGACCTGCCCACCAAATCCACTCGCGAAGATATCCAAACCCACCTGCAGAAGCGCGGACCTCGCCATGCCTACCTTGTCTTATCAGGGCTTTCTTTTTAATAATAAAACTTGAGCCGATGAAGAAGCACGAAGATATGGCCAATCCCACGCCCACATAAAAATCAGTGGATGAGTAAGCTTCAGACAACGATGGTGGTGATGAAGAAGATGCAGTTGTGGCGATGGAGGGGGAGCCAATGCCAGACTGCAGCGATGAGGTTTCGCTATTCATTTGTATTTACCGTAGTTTTCGCTTAAGGGTTGATAGTCGAAGCTCTAAAACGGGAATCCGATTAAACCCATAGTTAACTATGTGTAAACATGCTTAAGTTTTATATTTAAAATTAATTTATAAAATCATATACATATGTATTCATATATAATTTTTATACATAAGTACGTATGTACATGTATGTAAATAGCAAGTATATGACTCATGCCAAACCGTTTTTTATTTATATGCTTGCACAACTAAATAAAAACTCACTTGATCACTAAACCATCCAAATCCGTTAATTATATCCTGTTCACTATGTTTAAAAGAAAACAAATAAATTCGTGTCTTCGTTCAATGGGGGTGTTTGTTGTTAAACTGCCTTTCCTATTTCGGTACATGGAAATTATATCGATAAGTGCAAATATTCCGATACTTTTATTATCGATTACAACAAATACCTGTAAAGCATCAGCATTCAATTAAGATAGCCGACAGATTTCGCATTCATTTAAGTTTATTTATGACATTCAATATCTATTTCTTTCTCAGGTACCGCTGGTAGAGGTCTAACAACTCTGGGCTTGTACGGGGTAGCACAATATTCAGTGCATACTCGAAATGACGGCTCTGAACATGATGTGCATCAAAGTTTTCGTCCAAAGCATGCAAAGCAGCTTCGTGGCAGACAGCTTGTATTTCTGCTCCCGTATAGCCCTTGGTGAGCTCTACTAACGTTTCCAGATTTACTTCCTCAGCTAATGGCATGCGTTGTAATTTTATGGACAAAATTTCGCGGCGTGCAGCAGCATCCGGCATTCCCACATATACAATGCGGTCAATGCGCCCAGGTCGAAGGAGGGCTTTGTCAATCATGTCTGGGCGATTTGTTGCGGCCACAATGGTTACATTCTTTAAATCCTCCACACCATCCAGCTCGGTGAGCAACTGCGTGAGCACTCGATCCTTAACTGAAGCTCCAGAACCACCGCTTTCGGCGCGCTCGCCGCCAATGGCATCAATTTCATCAAAGAAAACAATGGCTGGCGCTACTTGACGGGCTTTCCGAAACACCTCCCGCACCGCACGTTCCGATTCACCCACCCACATGGAGAAAAGTTCGGGTCCTTTGATTGAAAGAAAGTTCAGCTTACTTTCGGTGGCCAAGGCCTTGGCTATCATAGTCTTAGAACAGCCGGGAGGGCCAAACATCAAAACGCCACGAGGCGGCCTAATTCCCAGTCTTTTAAACTTTTCTGGGTGCAGCAGAGGCCATTCTATCGCCTGCTGAAGTGTGAATCTGAGTGCAGATTGTCCTCCAATATCGCTCCACTGCACATTTGGGATTTCGACCTGTACTTCACGCATTGCCGATGGTTTGATGTGTGTGAGCGCAGCCTTAAGATCCTTGAATTTCAAGGGCCGTGCGTTATATTTAGTGGCTGCTAAGGTTGCTGTATAAACCAAGTTGGCTAAATCGGCACCAACGTAGCCGTGGGTTATTAACGAAACTTGCCGAACCTCCGACTCGTTTAGCTCGTGCTGCACCTTACGGAGCAAGCAGTTAAGTATATCTAGCCGACCAACGGGTGTCGGCGGTCCCACCTCAATCTCACTGTCCAGGCGACCAGCGCATCTTATGCTGGGATGCAACGCGTCAATTTGTGAAGTAGTTGCCAAAAGAAATGTACGTTGGGCCTCTCGTCTGCTGCTCAGCTTATCTAGCATCGCCAAAAATGCCAAAGATACACGCTTCACCACTTCGCTGCTCTCTTGCTTGGGGCATAAATTGTGAACATCTTCTAGAAGTATTAGCGTTGGTTGCGGGTAATGGGCATATGCCCTATCAAAGTGCACAACGAGTTTCTTTTCGGTTTCTCCCAAGTATTTGCTGTACAGCTCACAGCTGTTAATTCTAATCAGCTGCACGAATCCTGAAGTATTAATAGTCTTCGCCCTCGCAATGGCAGTTGCATGCATAGCTTCGCAGATCATGGACTTGCCACAGCCGGTAGCACCATAGAGTAGCACTCCCCTAGACACCTTCATGCCTAAAAATATAACCATTTGGTAACTTGTTGTAAAACGAAGATGATTTTTTCTTACCTTCTGGCAGGAACTTGTATCCTAAGGCATATTCCATACTATGTTCAATCAATTGAATTTGATCATCAAGCCCACCTATGTCAGCTTTAGTTATTTCATAATTCCTCCCTGGATCCTTTAAAGCTTGTTCTTTGGCTACGCCGAGTATTTCCACAGTTGTTGCATTTGTTACTTGAAAGAACTGTTGGGAGTTATTATCCAGGCTTAGCTCTGCTAATGCTTCCTCCACTGTGACTTTGCCTTTGGAAAGCTGATCATGCCAATGTGCTACGCTAAGGATTAGCGCCTTGTTAAAAAATTTCACATGCAACTTGCTGCTTTGACAATATATTAAATCAACGATTTTTTGTTTAATAACTGCTGCAGCATCTTTTAATTGCGTTTGATTTAAGCCTAATTCGGCTGCGTTCTCAAGATGTAGAATAACATTCGCGGCTACTTTTAAATTGTTTATTTCCAGAGCAGCAATAGTCGCTAGGTTTCCATTTTGGGCGCTAAAATGCAGTCTGTATTCTAAAAAGGAAGTAGAACTTAGCAAAAGAAGAAAAATAACAAGGTGTTTCATACCTTTCTCTGATACAAACACTGTCGTCAAAAAATTGTCGGGCACGGGCCATAATATGCGCACCAATTGCTTAACAGGTTGCTCCTGCTCAGGTGCCGGCATAATTACAACATGCTGGCCAATATGAAAATTAGCCAGGCGTATTGCACCCTCAGACATGAAAAGTAAGACATTAGTATACTTTTCCGGTAGATAAGATAATGATTCTATTTTAAATTTGCGTGGTTGCACGCTCCTCGTGTACAGCTTTCCATTGCGAATATACTCTATATCGCCCTCCGAAACAGAATTTCCCAACTCTGCTTCAAATGGAAGGGGGCAGACACGCTCGTGAGTTTCCCGGGCTTCAAAAGTTATGTGCGCGTTGCAAGCTTCGCAATAATACCAACTTGCTTGACCTTTTTTGCTGTTAGATTTTGGTGGCATGACCGGGAATTAGAGCTGTTACACTATCGACGATACTGACGATGGCATTAATTTTTGCGAACTATCGATGACTTCCATCACTATCGACATTATCGTCGTCATTAGCTGATCCACCAACCGCACAAGATATGCACGTATGTATGTTGTATGGTTAGTGGGAATGCATAAACTTCTTGCGGCGATGCGGACTGTGAACGTTGGGTCTGAGTTGCCATTTGCTTTAGCAATTTTTCAACTCCAGAGGCAGTGGTTTGGTGCGCATGACGAAATGTGTCTGTCAAAGCAAGTAATTTTCAAAAAACGGTCACAAGAGTAGAACCATTTCTGGTTACTGACTGTTACTTCAAACATGACAAAAAAATATAGTTTTAGAGAATGATTTTTCATTTTATTAATGCGCTCCTTGGGGTTATGTGTTACATTAGACTTTATTTTTATCTAGCTGCAAACTTGCATGTGCAATAAAACATTTTAAATAAAACTAATTTTAAGTAAGACATTTATAAAATTTTCTTATCCCTATGTACGAGTTACCTCGTAATCAAAAAAAAAGAAGTAATTTAATTTTGTTCAACAAGAAGTGAATGTGATTCAATAAGAGTTTTTTTAAGATTAAAAATATCTTATTTATAAGAATTGATGTTTTAGCACATATATAAGCAATTAACAATTTTCATAACGATATTAAATTTTGATAAATTTATAAGGCCTTTAAAAAGTTATGAAAGATTTTTAAACTCAATAACTTCAAAAAATTGAATTATAATATTTAAACTCCTAGTAAAAAAAAGTTCCATACAAAATGTATGTCTTTCCCAATCCGCAAACTTTTGTAATTCAAGCCAAAACCCACATCCATATAAATACATACATATGTATCTTTTAATCTCTAGCGAAGATTCTTGTATTTTATTTTACTGAATATAGTGCTACTTAATTAAAACGCAAATATAAAAGTACTTTTAAAAATTTGGCTTTTTCATATTTTGTCGTCGAAATTATTTTAAATGTGCATATGCTTATTTATATGTGCAATTGGGCTAACTTGAGCTGACCCGTTCTGAACTAGCTCTGTCAATCGGAGTCACACAAACAACTAAAGGCTTTAACGCTTACGTTGGTTGTGCATAACAATGTAGCTGTTGAGCTTGACATCAAAATTAAACTAGAGTTTCTAATTGTGATGGAAATTTTGAATCTAAATACCGCAGAAATCTGAAAGTCCGAAGTGACATCATAGGTCTGATCGAAAAGAAGAATTTGACTTATATACGAAAAGTCTTGGTTTGTTGATAATTTTTATCTCATAAGTCAAGTGACTCGCATCACGTGCATGCGCAGTAAATGCTCAATGCTCTTCATTTGATTGAACCACCACGTTTTAATTACATCACGATGGGTAGGTGGCAGTGTCAGCAATTTGGCAAAAGTAGAAGAGAAATTTTTATTTTTCAAAATTGTCATAGGAATTGTTAAGTAGCCGTGCATACACCTATACATTTCATAAATACATTTTTATATATATTTTCGTTATAGCACAATATATACAATTAATATATGACTTGAAAAGATGCCTGCTCTTTGCGTGACAATTTTAGACATGAGCAAACTACCCTCTATTTCGAAGAGAAAAATTCTTAGTGCATGGCTTCAGTTGTTTTATTTGAAGAGAATATGTTATAGAAATGTGCAGAGTTGGTGCTTCGAGAGGTACTGGTTGTACTCGGAAAGTTATAATGCAATTTAACTTAATCTTTAACATTTTATGACAAATAAAATCGAGCTTTGAACGGTATATATTGATTAGACCGGCTAGGGATCTATCTCTTTTCTGCGGTATATATATAAGTTTATATTAACGTACATTTTTATATTAGTATATATATATATAACTATATATATCCTCTCACTCTCAACAAAGCCAACGGCAGCTATGATTTTGCAACACACAAAGCAAGAGAAAACAAAAGCTTTCAGTCCCGGATTTGCTGCGCTTGCTAACGGTCTTCCCAAATATTTTAACGCAACGTTACGGCGATTTTATTTTGTTAACATTATATATGTATTAAAAGGTTGTGTGCCAATGTGTTGGGCAAAAGAAGATAATGGCTTCAAATGATTAGAAACATAAGTTTTATAATAGTGTATTTAGCCATGAATGTTATATTCAATTAATTTAAAAATATATGAATCGCCACTTAAATTATTCACATACTAAAAATGTCATTCTCCGTAAAGTGAAGTGAGAAGCTAAATATAATATATGTATGTACTTACATACAAACATATAATATAATAAAAATACATACAAATGCATGCATATAAATTCCTAGTCGAGTGAAAAAAATAAACGCGTGTTTTAAATGTTTGAGTAAAATATAGTAAAAATACCCCAAATTTAATAATATACATTTGTATGTACATATGTGTTTGCTCGCCGTGGTTTCGATATTTTTACATATGCATACATACCTACATATGTATATGCGTACTTTCTTCTTGGTTGGTATTGGTTGTGTGTAAGCCTACATATGTATGTGTATACGTTTCTAATAGATTTTGTTTAGGACTTATAAAACAATCTTTTAAATTCTTGATGTAAAAGTGAGGATTTGCTTAGCAAAACATACTCTTGTAATCATTTTAATTGCTTTCTATAAAACAAATATAATCCAAGTGAATAGGCATTTCTCTTGCTGAAGACGAATGACATTTCATAAAGTTGTTCATTTTAATTATTATTGGGTCGGAATTGTCATTTTCTTCTTGGGGAGACCAATCTGTCAAGTTGATTACAATAATCTAAGTTTTAAATGGTCTTGGAGCATATGAAATAGTGTTGTGTAATGTAGGTGTTTTTATTCGCGGTTCGCGTATGCCCTGTCAACGTTTCTGCATAAGACCCATAGAACAGTTTTCAACTGAGTGTGATGGATGATGAGGTAGGTCGGAAATTCAGAAATATAATTAGCATTAGCAAACATCCGCGTACTTGGAAATATATACATATACAAGATACTATTCTGTTACAGATCTACGGCAGAGAGTTCAACGTGTCCTTACTTATTTGCTGCTTTTTTAGTCTACAAATACAAGGTGGCCATTCTGAACGGCTTTGGATTATGAGGTCATGACCAAGCAAGGATGTCAGTTTATTATTTATTTTGAATTGAAATATATTTTTAAAAAAGTTATTTTATAAACAATGATAGTTCCTTTTTTTGTATATCTAGAAATTTAAAAGAAATTTAATAGTCAGTACAGAAAAAACGTCCGCAATAGATGTTTGCCCAAATATAAGAAGTGCAGAAGCTAAAGTCGGGTGTCCCGACTTTGAAATACTCTGTATATATGTGTAGAATAATTATAGAAATTTAGTTCTTATAGTCTCCGAGATATAGGTGATTATACGAACGCCGTTTCCGAAAATCCTCCATTGGGAAAAGTGGGGGAAAATCAAAAAAATAAAACAAACTTGTATAGCATACACACATAAGGCAAAATTTGGTGTCTCTAGCTCTTATAGACGGACAGAAAGACAGACAGGGCTAGATTGACTCGTCTTGTCTGCCACGCCTCCTTCTGCTTGTTACACTTTTCACTCCCCGCAAACCTACTCTACTCTTGTTCATTAAATGTACAGATGTACATACATATGTATGTTAATTTACAATTCAAAGTATGTATAATGCTGATGTGATGATGATGATTATTTATACTTGCATGCAGGTGTAAATGGTAGTCCGAATGATAAACAATAACAGATATTAATAGTAATAATGATAAATGGAATGATGCTATGCAAAATATTAATTTGATGCATATACATAAGTATGTATGTACTTATATATTGCTTACATTTATTGACATTGTTATTTTGTAGACTTTCCAACAAATCACTTGCTTTTTCCAACAATACAACAAATACATAAGAATAACGCATGGTTGTAAATTATACTATGCGCAAAAACGTATCCACCCTGTGCAACGATATACTACGAACATAAAGCACCTACAATGCCCATCTCTATCTCCTTGTATCTGTCAGTGTGTGTACTACGTACTGTCCCCAACTGTTTGATAATTTGTGTTATTTGCTATTGCTGTATGGGAGAATCGAGAAACCTATTTCTATATTTTGAACTTCTTTGAATGCCAAGTTGTAGATCTCGGTAGGTAGATTATATACCTTATATTCGAAAACGTATCGCTCATCTGCACTGTGAAAAGATACTTGATTCCAAATTACAGCATCCCAACTCTTACCGTTTGGGCGGTGCGTTGATGACTAATCAGTCAGTCAGTCAGGACAAACTGTTTTATTTACATACATTACATATGTATGCGCATATGTAAATACATATGCAGATATTATTCGCCTTCTTACTACTAGCGACAAACTATGGTAGAACTCGAATACCTGTTAGCTACCGGTTAGCTACCTGTATTTTATTTTAGTTAATCAATAACCTTTAAATTACTAGCTGGGTCATAATTTTTAGTGCTATCGTGCGATGCCAATGTTTTGTAAATGTTGAATTCTGAATATGTATGTATATGTTCATCTTGATTATAAATATCTACTATTCAAACCGATTAATAATAATACCCTAAGCAAAGTTGATGGCGATCCAATTTTCCTTTCATTTGTGTTCTGCTTCTTCCACTGCATAAAAACCAACCTGTTCACACATATTTTCCAGATCTCATTACTGGAGCAGACGATGTTTGAAACAAAACAATGCGTCGGCAAACATGACCATGACTATTACCCTATAATTATTTGTAAGTTATTTTAAGCATTCTTAACCAACACATCTGTAAAATTATTTTATGACAGCTTTTGATTCCTTAGCTCATCTGAGCCAATCTTTAATTTATTGAACGCTGAAGCCTTCAAATTCTCGGTTGTTACGACCTCCCTAAACTGTAATAAAAATGCATGCAAATGTAACTACGGACCGCGGCGGAGGAGGTGGTTCTTGGAGACTACCACCGGATGAAACTTTGCAAGTGCAGGACCCTAAGCAAAAAGATCAAGACTTAGATCTGGATGAAGGGCATAATTGGCGAAGTATAATTTTCTCACTACTTGTTATTAGTTTTGTGATAGCTGGAATTATAACTGCTATCTATTTATTGGGGTATGTGTGTCCAATATAAATGAATATAAAATTCAGTAATATATATATATATATATATACTATTTCACAGATATGTGGATGAGCTCTTGTATTGGTCGGGACGCAGAATGATTTTAGATGAGTATTTGCAGGGAGAATTAACGCCAACACGATTACAACCTTCTTGGGTTACAACGCAGAAGTACGTTTTTCAAGCCGATGATGGAGGGCTCGCAATTTTGGATACAACGAGAAACTCAATTAATATTTTAGTTACAAATCATACAATTCGTCAACTAAATGTGGGTGGATACCAATGTTCTCAAGATCTTAAGTATGTTTTATTCAGACATAATGTAAAAAAAGTAAGTAGGGTTAGAGCCAATTCAAAATTATTTCAGGCAACGTTTTTTTGTTAACATTTTCAGATTTTCCAAAAATCGTTTACTGCATTCTACACAATCTATGATGTAGAAAACGACCATCATATGCCTGTAAAGTTAAAAGATTCATCAAAGGTACAAAGGACTCGTCTTCAACATGCTGCCTGGTTAGGCAACACTACTTCCATTATAATCGTAGCTGACAATGACATATTTTTAAGACAATCGCCTTCCATGGAAGAAGATATTAGAATAACAACAACAGGACACGAAAACAGTATTTATAATGGAGTTGCAGACTGGCTTTATCAGGGTAATATTTAAAATGGATGTATGTACATAACCAATTTTTATTTGTTTATCTTACTCTTATTATAGAAGAAATTTTTGATAATCCGGAAGCAATTTGGTCTTCCGCGGATGGGACACACTTCATGTTTGCCTTATTCAATGACACCAAGGTTGGAATGATGACATATCCGTGGCTAGCATCTGGAGCTATAATCGCAGGTAGTGGCATGACACCAGGGAGTTCGTTTCCTGAGACGAAAAATGTCCGCTATCCAACGCCAGGCACTGCCAATCCAGAAGTACAGCTGTGGATAATAGATATCACTAAAATTGGTTCTATACAAAAATCTGAATTAAAACCACCCCCGTCTCTTGATGGCCAGTAAGTTTATAGAAAATATTGTATTTTAAAGTTAAAAATGCGCGCTGAATCATTTTAAAAAAATGTATGAGTTGTATCGGCTGCATTTATTTTAGATATTTTGTGCTTCACCATTATTCTTTTATGACTACAAATGCATTTCTTAAAATATTGGATTGAGAAGCCAGGCCAACTAAATTGGCAGTTATAGGAAGAATTATTTTCATCAATGATTTGTTAATATAGTTAACCACGACAGAATAATAATGTCAAACCAAAATCTTGCTAATATAAAGGAAAATTATTCATCACTATTGTGGATGGTGAATGACTAACGGTGCAGCGACAGCATGTGGCTTTTGCAATTCCAAATATAAACTTCAGCATTTATTAATCCAATTTTTAATGCGAGAAACCTTAAACTATACCAAAATAGCATTTCAGATCTTGACAAATCTACCACAATTCCTCCAATTATAGTTGTCCTATTAAAACCACAAAGTTATAAATTTTAATTTCCATTTTTACCCATGTTCTATGTATATATTTAAATTTATATTCTAACTACATTTATTTTAATAACTATTCCCAATAGGGATTATTACCTTACTTCAGCAGGTTGGGTCTCTGATAACAATCTGCAAGTGTCCGTGGTTTATATGGTACGATCCCAAAACTATAGTATTATTGCTACATGCGCCAAGGAACGAAACTGGACATGCTCGGAGGTAATTTAATAAAATAATAATGTAGTGATGTAGGGTAACTACATAAAGTTAAATAAGAAGTATTCATTTATAAGCTAATAGATGATAGATGTTATACTTATACAAAAAAGCTCAAAATTTGAGCAATAGCTTGCAGCTATTAATTGTTAATACAGTTTTGAATTAAATATATTAAATTTAAGTAGTATTTTTGGCAGTTTTTAATTGTAAATACAGTTTTGAAAAACATATATTTTATTTAAATAGTATTTTTTATGTATATGATAGGATATGTAATTATAATTTGAATTATAGACTTTGTTTGTATACTCTTAAAAAAAAAACTAACTATATAATAAACACTCAACCACAATTGGTAGTCGGAATAAACTCAAAACTATATAATTTATTACCTCAACAAAAGATAACTCTACAACCGATTAAAATGTAATTCTTATTTTATATAATTATATAATATTTAATATTTATAATTTATAAGATAAAAATCAGAAAAAAGACTATCAAAACTACATTGTGCAAGGCCTAATCAACTGTGCATCTGTTAAGTAGTAGAAGCAAAAAAGTTGCCTTCCGAAAACTTGTTTTCCCATCCGACTCAGACCAATACAGATGGGTTTTATACTACAGTACACTATAAGTATATGAATAATATATTATAAATATTAGACCTCAGCAATTCTCATTAAATTGAATTTTGTCAAATATGTACATTCCGTTTTAGTAGCTCACTAAATTTGAATTACTTAAAATATTTAGTATATCTTGTGATGCCCTAGTTTTCATTTTTGCTTTATAATTGTTGTGCTTTTAGCGGACCAGCTTTTAATGTATGTACATATATACAGCATAAGGAAAAAAACTGCAAAAAATACAAAATTAAAGATAGAAATAGTTTAATTAAAGTTTAAAGTCTTGAAAACTTGTTAAAATATCAATGCGTATTAATAAACCTTAATATCTTTAAGATACACTCTGAGCGTGCACCAGAAGATGAATGGTTGGATGTTTTCCCTCATCCTGTATTTGCGCCCGATGGTAATAGTTTTCTTTTACTTGCAAGTGTTCAAGAATCTGGTCATGATCATTTTACGCATATAAAACACATCACTATAACTCAACAAAGGATTTCAGTGATATCCCACGGTCGCTATGAGGTAGGCAAGATGTTTCCATTTCGGAATTTTGTTAAATAAGGGCTTTTATTTGTAAGGTCTTGAAAATACTCTGTTGGGATACAAAAAATCACATAGTTTACTATTTGGGAACTCAAGATAAAAGGCCTGGACAAAAACATCTTTACACTGTTAAGGATCCAGTTCACGATGACACAAGAAAGTAAGTAGATACTTCACTCAAATCTTTGTCCAGCAATATAATTCTTGAATCGAAATCGCTTGCGAGATGCTTTGTAATTTTTTATAAATTACAAATATGATTTTTTACGCTGTAATATTACAATTCGCTGGAGTGCGATATTTTTACTTATTATCGTAAACTATTTTAAGTAAGTTCTTGGTTCTATAAAAACTTAATAATATACGTAAGGTGTACATTAAATTTTAATAAATTAAAGTAATGTGGTATATGTTTATCATCCCTGCCTCATCCAGAAATGAACATTTTTATATTTTAAGATTTTTCAAAATAAATTTTTTTTACCCAAAATCTGTTCACAGGACCGAGCCGCAATGCATAACATGTGATTTGGGCGAGGCTCTTTGGAGTAGCCGATATTACTACATAAACTGCTCGCATTTTGACGCCTTTATTACTCCAACCAATGGAGTTGCTACAAATATAGGAATTGAGTTCTACATTTTGGAATGCCAAGGACCGGGTCTTCCTGTGTCAGGAGTGCATATGCACAAAACCCACAGCTTAGTGAAAATCTTATACGACACCCGGCCATTCTACACTGAGCGCCTGCAAAAACTGGCATTGCCGATACAACGTTCATTTGAAATTCCATTGCCGCACGGAAGTAGAGCCCAAGTACAATTATTGCTTCCTCCCAGCTGGCGGGAAGAGTTACGCGATGCTGCTTTTCCTGTTATTGTGGAAGTGTATGTATGGTAAATTTTTTTTATATAATAAAGAGAAACAAATTTTTTTTTCTCTTAATTTACTTTAGAAATGGACGACCAGGCTCAGAGTCTGTGTCCGAAAAATTTAGAATAGATTGGGGAACGTACATGTCATCGCGAAATGATGTTATATATGTACGCTTGGATGTACGAGGTGCAAAAGGGCAAAGCAAAAAATCTTTATATCGCCATTTAGGCGGAGTTGAGGTTCAAGATCAGATTTCTGTACTAAGGTAAGTTTAATTAATTCTATATACTTCAGTTTATTTTTGATTGCTTCTAATTTAAATAGATACCTCTTGGACACTATTAGTTTCCTAGATGAAACTAGAGTTGGCATCTGGGGCTGGGGCTATGGAGGCTATGTGACTTCTATGGTTCTTGGAACTCAACAAGATGTTTTCAAATGTGGAATTGCGATCTCTCCAATTGCAGATTGGCTTTATTATAGTAAGATTATTAATCAATGGAAATATCTTAAACCCTAACCCAAAGTCCCAAAATGTATACAAAACACCACCTAAACTAGAAGAAGACGCAGCTGATACCAAAAACAAAATACATATTTATTCAAAAACCTAAGGGGCATTATATTTAAGTCCACGATAGTGGCGCTTTTGTTTATGTTTACTTCGGTTCCTTTTTACTCAGTTGCTCTAGCTTTCCATTCTTGTTGTCTTATTTCGCTAATATCAAGCTCTTCTATATACTATATTAAGGGATACTCTCTTTTATACTCAAACCATAATGATATATTTATTGCAGATTCTGCTTTTACTGAACGCATACTAGGCTTGCCTGCTGAAAATTATAAAGGATACGTCGAAGCAGATGCTACTCAACGTGCACGACTCATTAAGTCCAATTCATTTTTCTTAATACATGGCTTGGCCGACTCAACCGCACCTTACATACATGGTGTTCAGTTAGCCAAATCATTGACCGATGCAAATATATTATACCGATATCAGGTACTAAAAACATGCATTCTTAAATTGCTTAGTTAAGCTAGAGCTTATTTATAATATGTCCAATTTCACTTTGTAGACTTACGCTGATGAAGGTCATGATCTAAATGGTGTTCTTGAACATGTTTACTCGTCAATGGAATACTATTTTTCGGAATGCTTAAGTTTGGATCCCGATGACACTAAGCCAGATTTGGAACAAAGTATGGTTCCGGCAGAATAATTGTAGAATGTATTTGTATATATAGTAGGATTAATAATATAAGATTTAAAAATATTATTTGTAAATCATGAATTATAGTAGCTCTTCCAAAAAGATATAGATAGTCTTGCTGCAAAAAATGCGAGAAACAATCCCATTATTTTGTCAGTTTGTTAACTTATTATGAATCGGTCAAATCTGTAGTTGCTAGTTCATATAGACACAATTGAAATAGTTAAAATTATAGATTTATATTATTTTTTTATTTTCATATATTAATTTTATAATGTGCCTATAATAATTATATAATGCCATGCTTTCGGTAATATCATAATGAGCACACAATGGCAATCAACGTCCAATTAGGTTTGCGCCAACTTCGTGATTGTGCGGCAGAGCTGCTAACTATGATGTTACATTAGATTACCTATAGTACCCCAGACGTCCAAGTAAACCATAATAACATCAATCAAAAGGTGCTCCATTTATTCGCCTATTGTGTTCGACGTCAGCAAAAGTTAATTCGTACCATTTGCTTTGTTGGCTTTAATATTAAAGTTTGCAGTCAGGTCGCAAGTCATTAGGCAACTAATTTTTTCAAAACATGTACTCACGGCAAACCCAGTCAAAGTCAGAAGTATTAATCATGAAGCATAGTGGGCACCTTGTCTATCACCAGTGCGAACATATAGTATGTTTTAGATGGAGTTACACGAGTAGCGGTTGATAAGAATACCGATTATTTGTTGATCGAACAGTCTGTTCGGAAGAAAAATCGGGTTAAATACAAACGAAACGCACGCACTTAGGCGCAAAAGCCATTGCGTTAGGTTTATCCAGGGCAGGGATCCTAAAACCAGTTGTCACATCACGTTGATGTACCGAAGAATGAACGCAGCAAATCGCTTGCATAAAGCATCGGCCGCACCCAACCAATTTCTACAAATCATGACTCTTTTAAATTCACCACCTTGCCGCCATGTTTTACATGCATACGTAAAAAATATACATAAACACGAATTCTGACTCGTCACAGCACTTTACCTACGAAAACATCTGCAGATTTGATTCGCCAATGTATGTATCGAAAAAATTAAGCTTATCAATAAAAAAAACCTGACTTCTTTTGTAAAGATAGAATAAATTTTAGATTAGTAAAAAATATGAAAATGTTGTGTTGTGTTTTTGTTATCAAAATGGTATACATATTATTGATCAACACGACTTTTTTTACAACATTTTGTTTTATATTTGTGGCCAGCAGCACTAATGTGCCATGTTCCACATGTTTTTAACTTGAGACGTAAATAACAATATGTGAATCCAATGTGTGATGAAAATACTTAAACAGACAGTTAAATAGTCCCTCAGACCGTGGATATTTTTAAGTCTCGGTGCCCAATGGCATTTTTGACACACCACGGAGCTCTAGTCATTAGACGGAGGGAATGGTTTTGGACAACCTGGAGTTATTGTAGATGGCTATCAGGGGTACACCATCCACTGATAACAATACCTGGACCAGAAAGGCATTTCCTAAACACAAGCATAATTCGTGGCGGTCTGGCTGATCTGGTCTTAAGCTTTTTTTCATCCAACTTGAAATAAATAAATAGCTGGACGGAGCACTAGTCATTAGACGGAGGGAATGGTTTTCGACAACCTGGAGTTATTGTAGGTGCCTATTACCGGTGCCCCACCCACTGATAGCAATAGCTGGATCAGAAAGTCCTTATTTGTGTGTGTATATATATAAATATGAATATGATTTGTTAAACTAACAGCTTTTTTGCATTTATGAATGAACATAGTATCTACGAGCTGAGCTTTCACAAATCCCCTGAGCTTTGCAGCAACTTTTTATCGTTGAAGCCTGCCAAGTGTGCGGACAAAAGCTTTCTGTGCCAAAATGATTTTTGTAAGCACTTTCTTCATATTCAGTTGTTCTACTTGCTGGGTAAGGAAAAGTGTGCCTGCAAACGAATGCGTCTCTTAAGGACATACAAATAATCAATTATCAAGCTACAATTTATAGCACTTTTCATCCTAATTGTAATTTTAACTTTTCTTATGCATAGCATTGCATTGCAAAAGTTTCATGCGGTGTAACTTGTTGACTTAAATGGAAGTGTCAAAGCAATCAACGGCAGTCAATACCTGTATCGTTCCCCCTCTAATATAATTGTTTGTGGGCGTTGAGCTGTATAAGTGTGGTACCAGTTTATGTATGTATCATCAAGCATTGTGTTTGTATATACAAACACAAAAATAAATCGTGTGTTGTTACATTGTTTAAAATAATACAAAAGCTCTGAGTTCACAACGGAAACTCTTTTTCCTTTTTTTCTTCCTCACTCTTTCTCATGCTCCTGTGTCATTAAGTACGCATCAACAGCTGATTACAACAACAGCAATAACTTGAAGAAACCACATCATCTCGAACACGAGCATGAAGTTCATGGTCAATACCTTTACATCTTTGGTATTGTAAAAGTACGAGCGCACACGAACATGGCGTTAATCCGTTGCTGCTTCGAGCCACCGGAATTGCCGGAATTTTTCGACGGTTTTGTGCAAAAATGTACAGATCCAAGCTGTAAGTAGACCCTATAGTGATTATGTGTCCGTATGCATGGTTGTATCAGGTTAGGTCAACTTAAAATGAAGTTATAGCCATAAATGTAATCTCTGTCGAAGCTCTGCCCGCAGCCATTGTTGTTGTTGCTACTTAAGCTCAACTCTGTACTGCGCACATGCTCACGCAGACACGCATAGCTACAGAGAATTGAAAACTCGGGGCACCCGACTTTAACTTTTCCACATGTTGTTTTTGTGGGAGTATGTTCATAGTATTTAAGAGTTCAGCTCACTTGACTCGAGAATCCCTTTTTATACTCTGCGCCCATAGTAGTTTAAGAAGGAAGCATGGCATGGCCCATAAAAGTATATATGTATATTCTTGATAGCCACATCCGTCAGTACGCGTGTCTGTATGAACGAAATGACCTTAGCAAGTACAAGAGCTAGAATAGCCAAACTTTGTAACAAGGTTCCCCTCTAGGCAGCTCTATTGTTTGAGCCTTGGTCGCAAATTAGACGTAACCATTAATTTCAATCTATTTTAAAATACAAAACAGAATTTTAGCGTATGCATTTTAATAAAACAGTCTCAAAGCTCAAAGTAACATTTTTTTCGTATTAAAATCTATTAAATAAAATTCAGTGCAGTCCATAACTCTACAACCATTTCAAATTAAACGTTCCTCTGAAGTGCAGCCAAGTTCACCTACCCATAAAAGCGTTGCCACAGCGTCGCAGAAACAAACACAAGTCGAGCAGCTGACTGCTGCGGACTCAAAAACAAAAATTGGCAGGGGAACGAACAGCCGCAAAAAGTGATAAAAATTTATCGCGACTCCTATATAATCATACACAAAACAGTGATAAAGCATAAAACATTTGCCCCTTTGCAGTAGACATGCCTGGTACGCAATTAGTAGGGAGAGAATAAGAAAATAATAATAACACGAACGCGATAAAAGCAAAGGCAAGAGGCTAAAAGTCTCATTGACCTCGGCGAAACGGAGTGAAAAATTGTGGGGATGACGCATCAATCAATGAAAACTATTTGAGGAGTATTTGGGGGCGGTGTGTTTTTGTTGTTTCTAAATAGGCAGGCAAAGATCATCGGGAAAAACAACAGCAGCAATACCAACCGACTTTATGACACACACAGACATACACTCGCACAACATACTGGCGTGTGGAGGCGATAAGATTAGTTACTATATACATACATATGTATGCCATAATGAGAAATATACCTTGCCACCTGCTAGCTGGATGTGCGCATACCGATATGTAGTCTGTACACATTTAAATTGAAATAAGAAATAATTCCAAACCGTGAAAACATACGCGTTAATAATAGTGGCGACATGTTTAGCTATCGTTGCCTGCGCGTTTGTCTACCAAATCCCTCTAATTCCTGTGCCTGTCCTTTTGCTCTACTAGGTTGTTGCGGCTGCTGTTCGGCGTTGCGGCCACGTTACAAGCGTCTAGTGGACAACATTTTTCCCGTCAATGCTGAAGATGGGTTGGTCAAGTCAAACATGGAAAAGCTTACATTCTACTCGTTAAGTTCGCCGGATAAGTTGGATCGAATTGGAGAGTACTTGTACCAGAAGGCAACAAAGGACATCAACCGCAAGCGTTACAAGTAAGTGGATTCACGTTTCAGATGAACTTAAGCATCAATTTGTTTGTTTGCTCAGACTTGCTGAAATAGCCATGGAAGCCATGGACTTGCTGCTGCAAGCATGTCATGCTCAGACGACGCTGAATCTGTTTGTGGAGTCATTTCTACGCATGGTTCAAAAGTTGCTTGAGGACTCGAATCCCAACTTGAAAATAATGGCGACCAATTCGGTAAACAGCAACTGTTTAATGCTTATCACAATAAAAATTATAATGCCACTTAACCTACCGCAGTTTGTAAAGTTTGCCAATATAAATGAGGATACACCTTCATACCATCGACGCTACGACTTCTTTATTTCAAAATTCTCGTCCATGTGTCACAGCGACAACCACGATTTACGGGACAGCTTGCGCCTGGCAGGCATTAAGGGACTTCAAGGTGTTATCCGCAAAACTGTTTCCGACGATTTAGTCGAAAACATTTGGGACGCACAGCATATGGAAAAAATTGTTCCCTCACTTTTGTTCAATATGCAGGTGAGTTCGCGATTTATTCTTTTAAATTACGAAATTATACTTTTAGACCGCAAAATTGGTATATAATAAAATTGTAATGATTTTAAACTAATTTCATTATTTTCGTATTACTCATGCCAACCTTTAAAAAAATCAAACACAAACACACAACAAACTATGTACAACAACTAACACAGTTTTGTGTAAACGTTATGTTTGTGAAGAAAAATTTAATGGCGGTAATTTAATGACATTATAATCAAAAATTATGCAATTGAATTGCAATTAATTCAATACTTTTAATCCATTTTTCTGTCAAAAACTAAACAGACCGGTGATTTGACTCCTGTAGAGGATGCAACTCATATTACGCCGCCAGTACTAGCTGAAGAGGTACTACGGGAATTAGTGGGACGCGCCTCATTTGGACACATTCGCAGTGTTCTGAAGCCACTGCTCATGTAAGTTGCATGGAATCCCATATCTTATTATCACGATTTACAACATCGGATTTAGGCCTGAAATTCTGGTATTAAAATAGAATTAGAATTTTCCTTAAAAAGGGTACATAACATTGTTTTCTTTATACTAAGTAACTTGCATAATGCGAATTAAACAAAAATGACAACTTTTTATGTAGGTTTTAAATTCTCTACAAACACATGAACACGATATGATGTTCACAACCAATTTTTGTAAAATTTGAAATCATTATTAATATTATTTATCCTTTTGGGGACAATATTTCGATAAGTACCATTAATACAAACTATTATATTATGTTCTATTTTGTTTTCTCTCCATAGGCACTTGGACCGACACGAGTTGTGGGTACCAAACACCTTCGCTATACACACGTTTCGCATTGTGATGATCTCCATACAACCGCAATATTCCTATACCGTTGTCGAGACGCTTATGCAGCATTTGGACAATAATTTCAAGTCCTCACCAAAAACACGTACTTCATTGGCCGTGGTACTGTCCAAGATCATAGCCATTGCAGCGGGCGAAAGTGTTGGACCTTCCGCCTTGGACATCATCAATAATTTGTTGACCCACTTGCGCACGAGTGTCAGCACAACCACCGAAATTACCGCCGAGGAGTCACAGTACCAGGAGGCATTGATCAATGCCCTGGGCGAATTTGCTAATCATCATCCAGACTATCAGAAAATAGAGATAATGTTGTTTATTATGAACACAGTTCCGGATTTGTCCAAGAAGAGTAAGAGTGATCAAATGCTTCAAAATATATTGCTAAAGTCGCTGCTGAAAGTGGGCACACAATATAGCACTGTATCCTTTGAGAAGGCCTTTCCGGCATCATTTCTGCAACCATTGCTGCGCATGGCACGTGCTCCACATGACCCAACGCGCATGATTGTGATGCAAATCTTTCAGGCTTTGCTCGATCGCCACCAGAATGAACAAGTGTTGAGCACAGTAAGCGTCAAACCATACACAGCGTTGTCCCAGGAGCCGCCGTCACGTTCTGACATAATTTTTACGCACAAATATGGCGCCAATATTATGCAGGCGCTTATCGATAGCATGGCGTTATCGGATCGCGTGGATGCATTATCTTCCAGTTACAACACAGCAGCACTGCTCATTGTTGAGATGTCTTGCAGTGAGACGGTGCAAGAGTTTCTACTTTTTATATTGGGGTAAGTACAACGCAGGAGACATTCAAAATCCGTTAATCATTTGAAAACAATGGTAGTGCGAAATATTTAGATGTCAAGAAGACCTGCAAATTATTTTTGCAGAGGTTGAATCACTATAAGGTCTGACAAACAGATACGTAACAGAATGTGACTGCGAAACACGAAAAGATAGACGGACATTTTTATATCGATTCATACTAATGTGGGCCTGTCACGCCTCCTTCCGTGTGTACACTCATACAAAAATAGTATACTATTTGGGTACAGGGTATACATTTTTTTTTTATTGTTGTGTCATTGTAAGTCTAGAAATATTTCGGACTACCCTCGTAAGTATCCTATGGTCGCAATATGCTTATTTTCTTAAGTTATTACTGAATAATTCGCCGAAGTGACCAATCGCTAAAATGTTAAAATTGTTAAGCCAACTCTTATTCATATTTTCATGCAATTATTTGCTTCTTACCTTTGCAGTATTCAGCAGGTGGCCCATACTGTGGAAAGTCTGGGAGCCGTGCACAAATGTAATTTACATTCGATAGCTATTGCCCTGTTGGTGCTCATCTCACGGGTGACTGGCATTAACAATCTGCTTGAATATGCACAGAAAATTGTTGATGCGCGTCGTGAAGAGGCTCCTTACTATTTAGCCCCATTGTTGGAACCAAAGAAGACCTCGGCGAAGAACCTGAATTTGTCTCTTCCGCATTTGGCTATCGATAAGTTAGCATTGGGCGAGTGCCTTCAGAATGCTGGTATGGATGCACAGCGTCTGAATAGCGGCGCACCATACGCTCTACATCAAACCGACAATCCCGCTCATCGCCACTCCTGGGTGGAGTCTGTAAGCGCACATATGACACAGCGGAACAGCTCTGCTGACTTGACCGTTTACACAGGAGATGTTGATAGCGTAAATAGCTCGCCAGGTGTATGTAAACGTGTATTGTCGCAAGAGTACACTTTTGATGCTATGAAACGTGCCTTGGCGGAGCCTACGGAAGCGGCAAAGCGCGAGCAACGCGAAAAGCAACTTCAAATTGTACGCACATTCCGCGAGAGCGAATTTGACGAGCTGGTTCGTCGCACTGAGCCCAAGGTAAGCCAAACAGAATTCAAAGAGCTCCTTCTAATCTAATTGTTCCTTTTCCTAACAGCACGATCTCATACAAAATCGACTTAATGAGCTGTTCAATTCGCTGGCCATGGAACGTCAAATAACTCAAAGCGGTGATAATAAAACGCTGCAGTTGCAGGCCACCAATGATAAGCCCATCTATGAGACAAATTTCCCGGAATTGTTCTATTATTAAAACTGTATTATTCTGATATTCAAACTCCGGAAAATTATGGCGTTTTACGGAAACCGGAGCATAGTTAACTGCTCGATGTCTTTCTCAATTAAATACAAATTGTTCGTATATCTTAATAATCAAATTGTTACTAATAAATGAATTTATCATACATACAATGTATGCAAATTCTTGTGTATGTTATAGTTCTATAGTCATGTAATTTTATTCATATAATTGCAATAAGAATGTTTTGTGCTTTTTATACCCTGTACCTGAAAGACTACATTAGTCTTATTATGTTTTTGTAAAGTGAAAAATGTAAGAAGCAGAAGGAGGAGTGGCAGACCCCATAAAGTATATGTATGTATGTATACACCTAATTTTGGTCCAAAATTATATATGTATATACTTATATATATATATATATATATATATATATATATATATATATATATATATATATATATATATATATATATATATAAACGGCGTATGCCTTGTCTCTATGCGTGCCTGTGTGCAGTACAAAGTCGAACCAAAGAAGCAACAACAGCTGCGAGCAGAACTTGTGCATATATACATATATATATGTATATATATATATAAATATATATATATATATATACATATATATACAAAATCTTTGACTTTGTACTGCACACATGCCCACACACAGGCACGCATAGAGACAAGGCATACGCCGTTTACATAAGATCGTATCCCAATGAAGGTATAAACGTTCACATTTTTTTGTAGTTAATTTTTTAAAAATTTATATAGTTATTCTACACATAGGCACAGAGTATTTTAAAGCCAAGCTTTAACTTTAACCGACTTTAACTTTTCCACTGCTTTTATTGTAAGGCTTTGCCTGCTTCCCTTTACTAAGTTTAAATGCTGTGCATCAGTGGTGGTTTAATTTGCGGTTGCTTATTCTCTTCATTCACTCCCGTAAGAGCAACACAACAGACACAATAACACCAACAACAGCAACTGCCTAACATAATGTAATCTCACACACACACGCTCATACGCCAAAACGCGTCGCCTAATAAAGTTCTTACTTAATAAAGAGTGCCGGGACGCTCTCTCTCTCTCTTTACATTCTCTTTGAGTACAGCGGGGACGATCTCAAATGGCGACCGTCAGTGCTTTTATATTTAATGTTAGGATTGTTTGTTTCAGTTCGGATCGTGCCTCCGCAGCGTTCAGACGTGTTGCTCGTACTTGGATCTTAGTAAAATCGGAATTCTCGGCACACTTATGGTGTTCCAAATAAATTGAAAAAACAAAACCAACTGTGTCGGTGTGTGTTCATTTATAGAGAAAAATTAATCGAAAGTGAAATACGCAAAAATTCAATCATTTTGATTTGAATAGTGATGCGTTAGTTTTTCTTCTCGACACATACATATTCATGTGCATAAAATATATTTTGTTGGTTTTAAAATGAAGTGTTCAACAACACTTGATGAATAATTATTTGTGCGGTGCGAAAATGGTTCAGACGTGCGACTGGTACTTCTACACATAGGTACAGATTATTTGAATGTCAGGCCTACTGAGTTCAACTTTTCCACTGGTTTTTTCTTAGTAAGGCTTTGCTTGCTTTCCTTTTCTATGTTTAAATGTTGTCCATCACCACCCAGGTTTAATTTGCGGTTGCTTATGCCCTTCATTCACTCCCGTAAGAGCAACACAACAGACACAATAACACCAACAACAGCAACTGCTTAACATAATGTAATCTCACACACACACGCACATACGCCAAAACGCGTCGCCTAATAAAGTTCTTACTTAATAAAGAGTGCCGGGACGCTCTCTCTCTCTCTTTACATTCTCTTTGAGTACAGCGGGGACGATCTCAAATGGCGACCGTCAGTGCTTTTATATTTAATGTTAGGATTGTTTGTTTCAGTTCGGATCGTGCCTCCGCAGCGTTCAGACGTGTTGCTCGTACTTGGCTCTTAGTAAAATCGGAATTCTCGGTAAACTTATGGTGTTCCAAATAAATTGAAAAAAAAAAACCAACTGTGTCGGTGTGTGTTCATTTATAGAGAAAAATTAATCGAAAGTGAAATACGCAAAAATTCAATCATTTTGATTTGAATAGTGATGCGTTAGTTTTTCTTCTCTACACATACATATTCATGTGCATAAAATATATTTTGTTGGTTTTAAAATGAAGTGTTCAACAACACTTGATGAATAATTATTTGTGCGGTGCGAAAATGGTTCAGACGTGCGACTGGTACTTCTACACATAGGTACAGATTATTTGAATGTCAGGCCTACTGAGTTCAACTTTTCCACTGGTTTTTTCTTAGTAAGGCTTTGCTTGCTTTCCTTTTCTATGTTTAAATGTTGTCCATCACCACCCAGGTTTAATTTGCGGTTGCTTATGCCCTTCATTCACTCCCGTAAGAGCAACACAACAGACACAATAACACCAACAACAGCAACTGCTTAACATAATGTAATCTCACACACACACGCACATACAGCAAAAACGCGTCTAATAAAGTTTTAACTTCATAAAAGAGTACCGGCACGCTCTCTCTTTGTGTTCTCTTTGGGTACAGCGGGGACGATCTAAAATGGCGACCGTCAGTGCTTTTATATTTAATGCTAGGATTGGTTGTTTCAGTTCGGATCGTGCCTCCGCAGCGTTCAGACGTGTGGCGCGTACTTGGATCTTAGTAAAATCGGAATTCTCGGTAAACTTATGGTGTTCCAAATAAATTGAAAAACAAAACCAACTGTGTCGGTGCGTGTTCATTTGTAGAGAAAAGTTAATCGAAAGTGAAATACGCAAAAATTCAATCATTTTGATTTGAATAGTGATGCGTTAGTTTTTCTTCTCTACGTATACATATTCATATGCATATAATATATTTTGTTGGTTTTATAATGAAGCGTCAACAACACTTGATGAATAATTATTCGTGCGGTGCGAAAACGGTTCAGACGTGCGACTCATACTTGGCTCTATGTAAAATCTTTACTCTCGGGAAGCTTGTGTAGTGTTATAATTAATTTGATAAAATAAAACCAAGTGTGTTTGTTAGTGCTGGTGCGAGCGCATTTGTAGAGAAATGTCAAAGAAAGGTGAAATGCGCCAAAATTCTATAATTATGTTTTAAATAGTGATGCGCTTCTCTACACATACATATAAAAATGCATATAATATAGTTTTGGTGTTTTGTTTTTTAAATAAAGTGATGTTCACTTGATGAATAATTATTAGTGTGATGCGAACAGATTACAATTTGTTCATTCAATTAAATACGCAAAGCGATTATGAATGTTTAAGTAATACTACTCAAAGGTATGTAAGCAATTTTATTCATATAACAATTTATATAAATATGTGAATATATATGTACGTACACATACGTAAACATTGCATGCAAAAGGCCGGTTGCGAAAGTACTGGAAAAAATATATTAGATATTTTTTAATGTGTTTGAGTGAATTTTGTGAGTTTGTACATATTTGCATTTACAGTTGGAGGGATTTTATGTTGAAGCTGGCCGTTACTTTCATGCATGCGCCTGTATGTGTTCATGTGTGTGTTGTAACGGTTAATTTTAAATTCGTTGAATGTGGATGCTACTTTTAAATTTCGTGTGAATAAATATAAACATAAATAAACATGCATGCTGCAGACTTGTCGCGAAATTATAGAAAGAATATAATAGGTGCGTCTTCGGTGTGTACTGAAGTCCCAATGAAAAAATGGGTTGAAAAATTCAGATCTATCATACAAAGTATTTTATATACATACATATAATGCGACATTGAGGGCTCTAGTAGTTTCTAGAAATAAACGCTATATAATTTTACAACACATACATAGGGGCATTTCCACAGAAAAATCATTTTTTCTCACATTCGAATCGATTTTATTTTGCCTTTACTTTGGAACCAGGATTACGCATGAAAACATGTTGTGAGTTTCTGCTGTTGTAGAGCGCTAGAATAAATTCACAGAAGGAATTTAACGCTAAATGAATTCCTAAAAATACATTTACTGAGGAAAATGTTTAACACTAAAACGGTGAATCACCGGCAAATATGCGAGCAGCTGCAACGACATTATTCGACCACGTAATAAGTATAGAGAATTTCAAAGTCGGTGGTTACCAAATTTAACTTTTCCACTGTTGTTTTCTTTGTTATGCTTTGCTTGTATTATTTTAGTTTGGTGGTTTAATTTGCGGTTGCTTGCTTATGCTCTTGATTCACTCTCGTAAGAGAAACATACAGAGTAACAATAAGCCGAACAATAGCAGCCGCCTAATTTGAAATATGAGAGAGAGAAAGTAGGTAGGGCAAAATAATTTCCGGTACTTGTGTGCATTGCTGAATATTAAGCGTTGTCTATTTGCAACATTTTTGTTGATGTTGATACAGCATGTTGTAACAGCATTGCGGCTTGACAGCATATTGAATAGATACGGGCAATTAAATGTTTTTATATATAAATGCGGCAGATAGCAGGCAAATAAATCCACGTTTTATTTATATTATAATTTTGCACTCCTTGCTTTTTTTAAGTTCAATTCAAATGAATTAAATAATTGTAAATTAAATAACAGCGTGACGTTGCAATGAAATGATTTATTATATGTATAAATGCGGCAGATAGTAGGAAAATAAATGCACGTTTTATGTATATTATAATATTGGAATCAATGTTTTTTCTTAAATTAAATTAAAATGAATTAAATAATTGTAAATTAAATAACAGAGCGACATATTTGTTTGTATATATAAATGCGGCAGATGGCAGGCAAATAAATAGACGTTTTATTAACATATATTCTAATTTTGCACTTCTTGTTTTTTTCTTAAATTAAAATGAATTGAATAAATTGAATTTAAGTAACAGTATGACGTTGGCAGCATACGTATGTATATACATATGTATATGTGCAGTTAAATGTCATTATATATGCATCAACCGGCCGATGGCAGGCAAATATATTTTTGTTTGTGCATATATACATAGTTTATATACGTTTGTTGTAAACGCACGCATTTGTTTAGCAGCGCTCACGCAGATAGAGCAGAATATTTTGCGGTACTTGTGCGCCATTGCAGAAAGATTACGCGTTATTTAATGGGAAACAATTTTCTTGATGTTGATACAGCTTATTGTAGTAGCATT